TAAAAACATATATTTATTTGGATTATTTTTTGGCATAAGTATTGTGATCGTAACTATATTATTATTGATGAGATTGGAAGGTATGTTAGACCCTGAAAATGAAGCATTGTTTTCTCCAATATTTCCTTCAATTAGAGGAGGTGGATTATTATTAATTTATTATTGGTTATTGACTTTGGATTAATATATATGGATTAAATATTAAATTAATTACAAACTTTATTTAGGATTTAACCATCACTTCTCAACATTAACTGAAGTCATTAAAAGAGTAAGTTTCTTAAGTACTATATTTTTACTTTTGTTTTTAATTACTTGTATTTAAGTAGAAGAAATAGCTTTTAAAGATTATAGGCATGTAATTAAGATTCTTCCACTTCTTTTTTGGATAATATTTTTTGGTTATTTATTAATTCCGACAATAAAAAAATTCAATGGATAAGGTAGGAGATGGATGTATAGAATGTTAAAAGGAGCATTATTCACTCATTTTATAAGCTATGATGCAAGGTATACTTTTGTTTTAGATTAATTTGTATCTCTATTTTCACCAATAAGAGATCTGGAATACACAGTATGTTATTATTCGATTGATGTAATAGTGTTTAATTAATTAAGTTATTCAATGATAATAAAGAGATAATACATTATAAGGAATGTGAATAAGGATAGAGAATAGTAGCAGATATATGTTTAGCAGTTGTATTTTCTCTAAAATGTTTACATTGCTTAACTTTGGCTAAAAAAAATGGTAAATTTTTCAACACTTTAGAAATGTGGAATTTTCTTAAAAATTTACTTGCTGTATCTGTTGGTATTGTTGGATGTTTGAATAAATTTGATAAAAGTGATGCTATTTTATGGATAATTCTGGCTTGTACTTTCACAATTTTTTAATAATATTGGGAAATAAAAAATGATTGGTTATTTTTATAGCCAGATTCTAAATATAAATTTTTAAGAAGTGATTTAGCTTTTATTAATCCACATTTTTATTATTTTCTCATTATATTAAATATGATTGTAATTTCAGCTTGGGCCTTTACAATTAGTCCTTAAATGTATTTATATTTAAAGGTTCCTAATTAATAATTATTCATTCTGATTGTTGGAATTATGGAATTAACAAGAAGTAATATAGTATTATAATATTATTTAGGATTTATTCATAATTTGATTAAAGTTGAAAAAGAACATGTACTTAATCTCAGACGATTTAGATCATCAAAAGATTTAGTATATCCTTTTGAATAGAAAGGAGAAATAACTGCAAAAATTCGATAATCTAATGCTTACAATGTCTCAGTGCTTGAATTTTAAAGATTATCTTAAGAATTTACTAGAAATACTTAAATGAATTTTAATAAATAAGAGATTGAGATGCTGTTATAATAACCATATGATTAATAAATAATGAAGATGAATAGTTCAATAGATAGAAAAAATATCAGATAGCAATTATAAACAGAATATTATATAAAATTGATTAATTAGCATTCGTGAGTAAAAAATTAATATCTGTATAACATTTAATTAATCTGATTTCTCAGATTCATTATAGTATATATCTTATATTAAAATAATTCATATTAAACCCATCTTGTTTAGCCTCATATTTTATGAGATCAAATGTAATCTTATCTAAAATTTTTAAAATTTAATGAGATTATGCCTTCGTTTCTATAAACTACAAAAATATACAATTGATTCAATAAGGTTTTTTAATTTAAAAAATTAAAATATTTAAAAGTGAGAATCAAAAATATCAAGAGTTAAAAATTCCTTGAATACAAAGAATCTTTCTAAATTAATTATAATAATTAATTTTATTTGTGTTTTTTAATCTAAATTTTCTATTTTCAACATTCTTTGCAGAATATTGAATTAATATGAATTATATCATATTCTTATAGAGATATATTGCATTTTTAATATCTAAGTTAAATAACTTAAAATAAATCTATCTGATAATTAGATATATATAATGTGAATCAATAGCATTTGGATTTGATTTCAAAGATTCTTTTTGTTGCTTATAAATTCGCTAACTTAAAGCTTTTTCTGTAAACGTCACTCCAATTTGAATAACCGATTTATGGTATATACCAACAAATTTTCCACCATCTCCTACCTATGCACTTTCTAGCCCATCTTAATGTTATATGTTAATATGATGCATAAACATCAAATGTCAATGTTTCGATCTAAAAATCTAAAAATATAATATATTTATCAGGTATGATTGAATTGTCTACTTTATCAATCTTAAATTATGCAACTCCATTAGCAGATCCTTTAAAGATATATCCTTGAACTCCTGCTCTAATTTTAATTACATATACTAAATTAAACTCTCCATAGGCTGTTACACTCAAAGATGCATAAATGTATTCAGAAATTCCAAATTCATCTTCAGTTCTGATAGGAGATTCAATAAAACCCCAAGAAAATTAATAATCTGCTCCAACAGTTAAAGGATATCCCATAATTAAAATAATAGTACTAAATATATTCTGAGCTTTTTCCCCTTTTATTTAAAAGGTTTCTAATGGTTTTCCTTGATATGAAAAATCTCTCTTGTATAAATCAACTACGCAACCACCATTAAGTGAAACACAAGCTTTTAAATATCCTGAAGCACTTGCTTCTTTTACTTCTCCTTTAAATTCTGTTTATAATCCCACTTTATTTTTCAATACTGTAGCCTCTTTTAGAGTTCTTTTTTAGTTGAAAATACTAGAAGTACATTCACCTTCTTAACCTTCATATTCAGTTTCAGAATTTGAATGAACATCTCCATTTTCATTTTATAATAATCTATTACCTTCTTATTATAAATCTTACACTTAATCTTATTAATCTTATTAATTTTATATTTTATCTTATAAATCCTAAATAGTATAATATTGAATAGTTTATTTATTTAAAATATCTGTTAGGATATTTGTTAATTCTTCATCTGATTTGGTTTCAACAGTTATTAAATTTGAATCATTAGTAATTTCAGTCTCTGATTTATCAGCTAAATCATCAGAGTTTTAATTAACATTTTCTGTTTATATAGAATTACTATATTTAGAATTAGTTGTTATATGTGAAGATACTAAGTAATTGTTATTGTCTAAGATTGTTTCTTATGATTATTCAAACATATCAAATATATTGATTCCTTAAGAATTACCATCTATTTGATCTGATTAAGATATAGTCTTTTTTGTTACAGTATTTCCAAACCATGATTTTGTTTTACTTGACTTAGGAATAAATCTTTCCTTACCAATATAGTAAATATTTGAATAATCTTCATTTAATAATCTATTCCCATCAGTTCCAGTATTGTTAGTTGATTCAGCTAAATTAGGAGCAATATGGATAATGTTAGAAACTAATGGTTATATGAGTAGATCTGGAATTTCAGCAGGTATTCCAATTTACTAAACTGCTCCAGTCTATTAGTCAGTAACTACTGTAACTAATGGTACTTCATTTACATTTCCGCATTCATCTGCAGGAATTCCTTCACATAAATTGCCATTTCCTGTTGATTGACTTTATAAAATTCTTAATAATTTTTTAATTTATTATTCTATTTCTGTATTCTCATTAACCATTTCATTATATTATCTGGTTCCATCAGAATTCTATTAGAAGGTTTTGACTTTTAAGTCTTTTAATAATAATAAGCTTGTGGCATTTTTTTCATTTACATCATTAACCAGTCTCCTGGTTTTCATTTGAATTTGAGTGCAATTTTGGATTTTATCTGATGTATGGTACATACAAATTTCATCCACTTAATCGAATTCATCACTTTAGAATTGTTTAAGTGTTGGAGCAGAACTAGTATTTTGACTTAGATATATTCCTAAAAATATTCCGATACCAGCTAATACAAAGAAAGTAACACTGAAAGAAATCCATTTACATTTTGTTGAGAAGTATTACTTAATTGGCTCTTTCTTATCATTTTAGCTGTCTTATAAACTTGGACTGCTATCTGGATTTATCTCCTATTTTTCTTCTTAAATATGTGTTTATTGCATTTTAATATTAATATTATTTACAAAAATGGCTTGCTTATATAGCCAGAAAGATACATAATATTAATAATTTCTAGAACAAAGTTCTAATTACAAATATATATTAAATAGAATAAAATATACTTAATTAATAAATGCTCAATGATTATAAAATAGTTCAGTTACATTATATTATATTTTATAATATTGTTAATTATTATGCTTATTTTGATTGAATCGAAGGTCCTTCAAACTAAAGTATTCTAATTTTTTATTCTTCAAATGTATAATAGAGTCCCACATAAAATTCTAAGTTAATATAAAGAATAACAAAAAGATAATATAATTAGTTTTTGAAAAAGAATATTTTTATTATGATCTTGACTTATTGAAATTTATGATTCTCAATAGTTCTCAATATTTAAATCCATTAGCTTAATTAGATTATACATTCTTTTTAATCATTCCAGCAAGGATGCAATCCCATCTTAAAAAAATAATTTTTAGCTATTGCAATTAATAACATGGTTAGAATGTGATATACAATATATATTTTGACTAATCTAACATAATAATGAAGAATTTTCGAATTTAACAAGACCTTCATAATTTCATATAATCCACTCAAATCCTAATTATTATTAACCCTAATATTAACTTCCTAAATTACAGAGCCTTAAGAGAAGTTGATTATATAAATAATTGACTTAAAATTTATCAAAAAAGATTGATGACTGTGCTGTCTTTGCAATTAAAGTGGAATTAGGAAAAGAATTTTATTGCTTTAAATTTGAAGAAAAATATTGTTTATAAAAAAAATTATATTCTATTCCATTAGATTAAAAGCATTCTTCTTGTTAGCATTAAAATATATAATATAAGTAATTGAACTCACTAATTATTCTTATTTAAGCTTATATTCTTTTATATTTACTATTAAAATGGTTATAATAAAAAATGAAATTAATTAAAATAATTATATCAAGAATTAATTATTTCTTCTAATTGATGCTATAATAAGATAATTTAATACATTAATTTTGTTTAGAAATTGTTTATCTTATGAACTTGTTGTATCTATAAGTAATTAAATTTCTGAGAATGGATGATCTACATTACTCAATATTAAACAGTACTTCATTAACTAATCAATTAAACCAGAGTTAATAGCTATGTAATAATATTATAAAGAGAACCCTTAAGAATTGCACTCATCAATTATAAACACCTCAACTTTTCTCTTGGATAACTCATATATTCAATTTTATCTAATTCATTTAAAGCTTCATTAATTCTTATGGTTTATTATGAATTAAATTCTGGAATTTAAAGATCTTTATGTAATTCATTTTTGATCTAATTATTATTTCTGTCTATTTTTTTAGATCTAAATAATTCATTTTATTATTTAAACATATTTTAGTATTATGGCAAAATGCAATGAGATAATTTTAAATAGAAATATTTTTCTATTGAAATTTTACAATAAGGCATTATTTAAGTTGTTTCTTATTTACCAAAATTGAAAGATTGAAATAATGTTTCAACTATTTAATTAATAAATGAATTTAATTATTAAACATTTTACTTAATATTTGATTAGTCATTAGAAAGACTATTTTATACTTTTTGAATATATTCTGCTACTTTTTTACCAAGACCATAATTTGAAGCGCATAATAATTTATGAAACATATAATAAGCACTGGTTTCTAAATAGTATGGATTTTAATTAGCAGCATTTTCTATTTCTTCAGAAACATTTACAATTCCAACAAATTCAGATGCCTCATTCATCATATTTTAATCTTAACTTTTCTTATTACGTAATTTATCTATTTTAGACAAAAAATAGTTAATCAATTCAGAATTCTCATCATAATGTCCAGTGATCCCTCTTATTGAAACTATTCTTACACATTTCACTTAATTTGTATCAATTTATATTTTAACCAAACAAATTTACTCAAAAGTATTTTCTGTCATACAAACTAACCTTTTAACAGTGTTTTTTATTACTGCTACATTTTCCTTAATGGCTATGATCTAATTTGAATCCTTCTCCAATATTTAATATTATCTATTATTATAATTTGAAAACTTTACTTCTTTTTAGTGCCGCTAATAAATAAGTCGAGTATATGGCTTGTTGAAACTTAGAATGGTAATTCAATAATTGAGTTTGGTTAATTTATCATTACTAATTTAATTTTAATATCTATTANTATATAATATAAGTAATTGAACTCACTAATTATTCTTATTTAAGCTTATATTCTTTTATATTTACTATTAAAATGGTTATAATAAAAAATGAAATTAATTAAAATAATTATATCAAGAATTAATTATTTCTTCTAATTGATGCTATAATAAGATAATTTAATACATTAATTTTGTTTAGAAATTGTTTATCTTATGAACTTGTTGTATCTATAAGTAATTAAATTTCTGAGAATGGATGATCTACATTACTCAATATTAAACAGTACTTCATTAACTAATCAATTAAACCAGAGTTAATAGCTATGTAATAATATTATAAAGAGAACCCTTAAGAATTGCACTCATCAATTATAAACACCTCAACTTTTCTCTTGGATAACTCATATATTCAATTTTATCTAATTCATTTAAAGCTTCATTAATTCTTATGGTTTATTATGAATTAAATTCTGGAATTTAAAGATCTTTATGTAATTCATTTTTGATCTAATTATTATTTCTGTCTATTTTTTTAGATCTAAATAATTCATTTTATTATTTAAACATATTTTAGTATTATGGCAAAATGCAATGAGATAATTTTAAATAGAAATATTTTTCTATTGAAATTTTACAATAAGGCATTATTTAAGTTGTTTCTTATTTACCAAAATTGAAAGATTGAAATAATGTTTCAACTATTTAATTAATAAATGAATTTAATTATTAAACATTTTACTTAATATTTGATTAGTCATTAGAAAGACTATTTTATACTTTTTGAATATATTCTGCTACTTTTTTACCAAGACCATAATTTGAAGCGCATAATAATTTATGAAACATATAATAAGCACTGGTTTCTAAATAGTATGGATTTTAATTAGCAGCATTTTCTATTTCTTCAGAAACATTTACAATTCCAACAAATTCAGATGCCTCATTCATCATATTTTAATCTTAACTTTTCTTATTACGTAATTTATCTATTTTAGACAAAAAATAGTTAATCAATTCAGAATTCTCATCATAATGTCCAGTGATCCCTCTTATTGAAACTATTCTTACACATTTCACTTAATTTGTATCAATTTATATTTTAACCAAACAAATTTACTCAAAAGTATTTTCTGTCATACAAACTAACCTTTTAACAGTGTTTTTTATTACTGCTACATTTTCCTTAATGGCTATGATCTAATTTGAATCCTTCTCCAATATTTAATATTATCTATTATTATAATTTGAAAACTTTACTTCTTTTTAGTGCCGCTAATAAATAAGTCGAGTATATGGCTTGTTGAAACTTAGAATGGTAATTCAATAATTGAGTTTGGTTAATTTATCATTACTAATTTAATTTTAATATCTATTAATTTTTATGTAATATTAAATTTAAAGTATTGCTATAATTAATTCTAATTTGATTTAAAGAGCACAAATTATAAGTCATATAATATTTATAAGCATATTGATATAATCTTTCAAGTGGATAAGAAAATTTACAAGAGTGATTTTTTAATTAAATTATGACTAAAATAAAATAAATTAGAATAACACTAAACATACCTTGTCATATTATCAATTTTATAATGTGTTTTAAATATTAAATTCTAAGAAGTAATCAACTTAATCCAATATTATTTATAAATCTGTTGAGTTATGAAAAATATTTATACTTTTTATTAATAAATTTTTGTCAGTTAAAATGTCTAGCACTAAATTAAGAAGATTAAGTCTATAAGAGGGGGATGGGTCCAAATTAAGAAGATTTAATGCCCTATATCCAAAAACTATAATTAAATAGCATGTTTTAAATGTTGAAAGAGAAAAAGAACGAAAAAAATAAAAGAGATTAGAACTATAAGAATAATAGTAAATATCTTTGACTTTATTAGGAAGAATACCATTTTATCAACATGCAAAAAGAGCACAGGTTCAACCAGTAAATCAAAATAAAGTTAAAGAAGATTAATAAGTTCAATGAATAATAATTTACTGACTTTTAAGACACCAACCTCAAGACTGTCGGATTATAATACTCGTATATCATCAAGACTTTCATCAAACTCTCATTATGAAGGCGTTAAACAAATATTCTTAAAGACTAATTTCAAGCGACCAAAATATTAAGAACAATAATTGATAATTGTAGATCCTTATATAGATAATAAAGAAAATTTTTCAAATGTATATAATCTTAGGCCAAATAGAACCATAGATAAATTAGTTGCAAATAGAAAATAGAGTTATAGTATGAATAAAAATTTCCTACTGAAATCTCCTAAATCACATACTACCTTATTGAGTGTAAGATCACTAAATTTTTTATGAAGTGCTAGTTCTATAATTGTAAATTATATATATTTAAAAATTATTTAATTTATATTATTTTTCAATAATAAATATCATTTTAGATATAGTTAAGATTCTATAACAAAAAAAAAGAATTTATTTTGTCACTTTAAAATTGAACCATTTAACAATAAATGATTACTTTTTAAAATTGTATAAAGTAAACATTAATTTGAGGGAATCTCTAAAATATTTTATCCAAAAAACATATTAACACATTTTTATGATGATTAAATACTTTCATAAATAATATGCATAATTTGAATTGAAATTGGCTATGTGTATTTTGAAATTTAGTTTAATCATTAAATAAGATCTTGAGATCTTGTTTATTTTAAATAGTTAATATAAATTGTGATAATATAATGAATTTAATAATTAAATACTAAAAGTAGCTAGAAATATAATTGAGAAAAAAAAAAAAATACNAACTTAGAATGGTAATTCAATAATTGAGTTTGGTTAATTTATCATTACTAATTTAATTTTAATATCTATTAATTTTTATGTAATATTAAATTTAAAGTATTGCTATAATTAATTCTAATTTGATTTAAAGAGCACAAATTATAAGTCATATAATATTTATAAGCATATTGATATAATCTTTCAAGTGGATAAGAAAATTTACAAGAGTGATTTTTTAATTAAATTATGACTAAAATAAAATAAATTAGAATAACACTAAACATACCTTGTCATATTATCAATTTTATAATGTGTTTTAAATATTAAATTCTAAGAAGTAATCAACTTAATCCAATATTATTTATAAATCTGTTGAGTTATGAAAAATATTTATACTTTTTATTAATAAATTTTTGTCAGTTAAAATGTCTAGCACTAAATTAAGAAGATTAAGTCTATAAGAGGGGGATGGGTCCAAATTAAGAAGATTTAATGCCCTATATCCAAAAACTATAATTAAATAGCATGTTTTAAATGTTGAAAGAGAAAAAGAACGAAAAAAATAAAAGAGATTAGAACTATAAGAATAATAGTAAATATCTTTGACTTTATTAGGAAGAATACCATTTTATCAACATGCAAAAAGAGCACAGGTTCAACCAGTAAATCAAAATAAAGTTAAAGAAGATTAATAAGTTCAATGAATAATAATTTACTGACTTTTAAGACACCAACCTCAAGACTGTCGGATTATAATACTCGTATATCATCAAGACTTTCATCAAACTCTCATTATGAAGGCGTTAAACAAATATTCTTAAAGACTAATTTCAAGCGACCAAAATATTAAGAACAATAATTGATAATTGTAGATCCTTATATAGATAATAAAGAAAATTTTTCAAATGTATATAATCTTAGGCCAAATAGAACCATAGATAAATTAGTTGCAAATAGAAAATAGAGTTATAGTATGAATAAAAATTTCCTACTGAAATCTCCTAAATCACATACTACCTTATTGAGTGTAAGATCACTAAATTTTTTATGAAGTGCTAGTTCTATAATTGTAAATTATATATATTTAAAAATTATTTAATTTATATTATTTTTCAATAATAAATATCATTTTAGATATAGTTAAGATTCTATAACAAAAAAAAAGAATTTATTTTGTCACTTTAAAATTGAACCATTTAACAATAAATGATTACTTTTTAAAATTGTATAAAGTAAACATTAATTTGAGGGAATCTCTAAAATATTTTATCCAAAAAACATATTAACACATTTTTATGATGATTAAATACTTTCATAAATAATATGCATAATTTGAATTGAAATTGGCTATGTGTATTTTGAAATTTAGTTTAATCATTAAATAAGATCTTGAGATCTTGTTTATTTTAAATAGTTAATATAAATTGTGATAATATAATGAATTTAATAATTAAATACTAAAAGTAGCTAGAAATATAATTGAGAAAAAAAAAAAAATACATAGTTTTAGAAATTTTTAAAGTTCAATTTATAATTTAAAAAGATCATCATAAAGTAAGCTTAGATATATAAATTTAACATAACGTCTGATCTATCTTTACAATCAATCTTAAGGTATTTTTAATAGAAAATCTTTCCTGTTCTTTAGAAATTCTTGACTTATTGAAAATGTTGATTGATTTCTTAACATTCAGAACATTAATTTAATAATTGGAATGATACATATAATTTATTAAAAGAAATCCATTTTTCACAATTTTATAATGAAAGTTCATTAACTTTTTAATTTACATTCTCATTTTAGTCTCTAAAAGTAAATAAAATTCTAAGATATTATAAATCCTTCTGATTTTGTTAATTTATTTATCTCTTTTATAAGTTTTTATTAAAAATATTTGGTAATTCTTTCATTTAAAATTTAAATTGAAAGTAAACAGAATCCGTTATTGAATAGTATGAAATTTATGCATTTAAACAATATCAATTAATCTTCAAATATAATTAAGGATAAATTAATTATAATATAATATTTTTATGTCTTTTTTATTTTAATTAAATATATCTATTCTTAGAATAATTATATATATATTTTTCATAAATTCAATAACAAATTCCAGGGATTACTTATTGACTTATTTTTAATTTAAATTACACTTATCCTTAGTAATTGACTTCAATTACTAAAAGATCTTAATCGTAAAAAAAGTAATTTTTAACAAATGTTCAAATAAAAGTGGTTGGAATAATAAACAAATTTATTTCCTAATAGGAATTAAATCTCTATGTTTATTAATTTTTTATTTATTAATGTTATTTACAATTGATTGCATAAATATAAAACAAAGTAAAAAGCTAATGTTGACAAACGAAGCAAAATTTCCAATTTTAGTTAGAATCGTAGAAAACAATTCTTATAATGTTATTCCTTCCTTTTCATTATTGAAATCAAAAGAAAGAAAGAATTTTTAGATACTCCATAGATTAAATACTAAACCTGACGGCCTTATGAGGATTGAAGCAATAGAATTTGATGAAACCAAACTTGACACGTTCGTAATTTGATTATACTCTAATTGTAAGTCTGTTCTGCCATTCTGGAACGAAAGAATTAAAGGTTCCTTGAAGACATAATATCAATCTCTGACATTGCCTACAAATATATCAGAGTCGTGCTCTTTTGCTTCCTACGACAGGTCTCCAACAATGAATCAAACATTTCAGGATCAAAATCAAGTCTAAAACAATACTAATGAAAGTCCAATTAAACTTAATACTCAGTAGCTTAAAAAAAACAGCAACTTTCATGATAATCAAAGTGATAAATTCAATTCAAAGTAACAAATAAACTCTTAATAATCAATACAAGTAATAGGTTCAACCAAAATAGCAGAAGAAAATAAATTTCATCAATCATATTAATAAGAAAGGAAACATTCTATTAGCAGTTTCGAATCATATTGTTATATATCAACAACTCAAACCTAATAATAAATTCTAAAAATGCCAAAAGATTTGAATAATTTTTTAGATCAAATTGACTCTTCGAATAGTCCGTTTCAAATATAAACTCCCTCTTAATTTTAGTCTTAAACTCATTCATAGATTAACTTTCCTGATAATGCTTAATAAGATGTGAGTATCAGTGAAACGACTTCCATTTAGAGGTTTGAGAATAGAAAATTATCATTTCTTTAACAAAGCAGATTACAATTTAATGAGAAACCTAAGTTAAGAGTTTCGTAAACTTTTATCAATCATCCAAGATCTACAATATAAAATTAATAAATTTTAAGTAAATTCAAGGAACTTGAGATTTAGTTATAAAAATAAATCGTAAATATTTAATAAAATTATATAGAATGAATTACAATTAAACAAAGATGTATTACAATCAGAACTTAAAAAATTAGAATTTAAAGTCATGTTCAATAATAATAATGCCAATTCTTCTAACCAATAAAATTTCTTTATATGGCATATACTTTTAACAAGTGTTCTATGTCTTATAATTGGAAGCTTTCTAAAAAAATTTGCCCCTTAATTTTGATCTATCTAACATTAAAAATAGTATATTCTTATAATTTATTCTTTTCTAATTTAGTTTCTATAATATTTATATACTTATAATAATAATAATTTTCTAGATCAAATTAAACAAATAATTATTTTAGAATAAATAATTATATCTCAGATCATGCCTTTTTACTTTTTTTTGGCTCAAACAAATTTTTGAGATTCTTATATGCTGTAATTATTTATTATAATGGAACAATGATCCAAACTGGATTAGCAGCAACAAAAAATATCCAAAAATAAAAAATATTTGCAAAGGTATAAGTGAAACAACCATATTAACAAACATCTTTGAAATTTCTAGACCATTCATTAGCAACAAAGAATATTGTTCCCATTATTTAAATAGCTGATGTTAAACCAATCAAAAAATTTGTTAAAATCTCATTTTTTTAATATTTAATTCTTAAAGCAATCCAAACACATAAGGGACCCATAATAAAGAATTCAATTGCTGAAATAGTCATTAATGTAGGCTCTTATAATGGATATCTCAAATCTAATTCACTATACTTTTGGAAAAGCCTCAAGTAATAATAATAATAGATTACCATTTATGTTGTTGCCAATATCCAACTGTTCCATCCAAATATAAATGAATCCAAATACCATTGAAAATAAACCAATAATATTAAAAATTAGGCCCTTTTATTAAGAATAAAGAAACAATTATGAATCCTGCTAATATAAGATTATCTGAACCCAATATCATTTTAAAAATATTATTAAAAAATAAAATTATTGATTTTTAATAATAAAATGACATATTTAATAAAAAAATATTTGTATTTCTAAATGGAATTATATTTACTTCTAAGAAATATGTCATTTTTTATGGTTTTTAACTTTAATTTCTTCTCTTAATTGTTCTATAAGTTTTTCTTCTTCTAATTCATCTTCTTCATCTTCTTTTATTGGTAATTCATCAAACATATCATCATCATCTTTAATTGAAGATTAATCCATAGAATGATTAGTATGAGATTAAGTTAGTTATTTTTTTGGTTTGACTCTTACATTTCTTTTTAAGAATTCTTAATCTTTAATATCAGAAACTGCATTTAGAATTGATTAATTTAATAAATCTTCTTATTGCTAAAATTAAATTAAGTTAAAATACTTTCACAGATAAATTTAATAATTTTTCCCTAATTGTATCTATAATAGCTTAAAATCCTAAATTTTTTTATAATCCTAACTTTTTCAATCCTCGAGACATCCAATTTCTAAGTTTATTCTCTAATAATCCAGCCACAGTAGCTTTTTCTTCTACTTCCTAAACCAATTTATCTTATTCAAATTAATCCTCCTTCTATCTATATGTTTCAACTTAAAATTCTTTATCCATATCAGTATATTATTATTTTAAACTTGAAAATTATGTTGATAATTCTTAATTTTCATTCTTTAATGCATTAATTTTCTTTTCATAATCTGATATTGATATTAAAAGATGTGCATAAGTTTATTCTCTCCCTAAGAATTTTTAAACAATATCATTTGCATCTGTAATACCTGTTGATGCTTTAATTTTTTAAAATGTCATTTCTAAATCCTAATATTAAGCTATTCCTCTTTGCATTTTATTTTTTAAAAATGAATTTAGAAATTTATGCACCAAAAGTAATTTTCTCCATTTTTTTAGTGCACTATCTTTAATATCTTTTGCAGCCACTTCAGCTATTTCTTATTATCTCTTTATTCTATCATCTCTCTTTTATTCTATGTCTTATCTTTATTTTAAATCATCCTTAAATCTTTGTAAATTCTTTTCTCTATTCTTATTTTATTATTAGATGCCTTCAGTAACTTCTTTAAGTGCCATCAATGTTTTACTATATATTTCTTGAATTTATTGTGTTCTACACAATACATTCAATATTTTACTTGTATGTGCTACTATGATGTTATTAAAGAGCCAATTGTAAATGTCTTTCATATTAATTTGCTCTAAGTTAATAAACTAATTGATCTTTTTTCATTCTATTTAACATATGTTCGAAGATTTTCCTATCATATTAACTTTCACTTAAAAGTTTATGTTAGTTTTCTAATTTTTACTGTAATTCTTTCTCCTTTACTTATAAATTATTTTAAGTTTAATTATATTGATCAACTTAGATCGTCATTGAATCAATTTCCTTTCTCATATTCTCTATATCTTTTTCCTTCTTTATCCCATTTATCTTCATTGAATCACAACTTTTTTTTAACTCTGTAAGATTGATATGAACTTCATGTGCTTCATTTACTTTCTACAATAACTAAGCATAAAACCTTTTAATCTTCAATTTATTTAGGATAGTAATCATCATCAAAACCCAAAACTGATTAAAGATCATTTTTCTTAATTAATTTATCAACAGACTTAATCACAGCCAACTTTCGGTATTTTTCATAATCACTCTTCTTACTTTATCTTGTATTTGATTTATTTGAATATAGACGTATCTATTTTGATCATATATTAATTTTTACATCTGGAAGTTCCACTGCAGACATTCTAAAATATCAAATAATATAAAAATTATTTATTATTAGTAAAAATGATTCATATATAATTTTTCATGATATGATTGAATTTATTTATAAAATATCTTATAACCTTGTAAATAATTCAAACTTAATAAGAATTTATATTTAATTTTTACAGAATTTTTTATATATTAATAAGATGGATGAGATTGAATAATTAAAGGATTCTCCAAGATTTAAAGAAGCATTAAGATAAAGAAATTGGAAATTAATAGATATATAATAAATAACTATAGATTAATTGAGAAATGAACCCAGATATTCATTATTTGATGACAACATCTTAAAATATTTATGCGATTAATTAAAAGAATATAGAAATATTTAATACTAAATTGTATTGACAATAAGAGATAAGATTATTAAAGATGATGAAAATAATAATTTTAGAATAAAATATAACCCATAATAAAAAAATTTAACTGAAGAAATGGAAGATGTTTTAAGTTAGAAAAAATTGAATCATATCGAAATTTAATTAGAATATGATGTAAAATTAACTTAATAAAATAAATTATTAAGTTAAAAAGAGTCTTTTTTATAAGAATTAGAATTTAGATTATAAAATGAAGCAATAGAGAAATAAAAGGATAATTAACTTTTAATAGAGTAAAGATAATTTCATATTGAATTTTAAGAGTTTTTAAGACAATAAAAAGCAAAAGAAGAAGATTATGAAAAAAAAGTGAAAAATGGATAATTTATGACAGAAGAATAATATAAGCAAAAAGTTAAAGAATTTGATAGATAGAAATAATTGAAAGAATAGTAAAAATAAAAAATAAAAGAGGAAAGAGAAAAATAATTACAAGAGAGAATGTAAATGATGGAAAAAATTTATGAAGAAAAAATAAAGAAAATGGTTGCAAAAGAGATTATTCGTTAAAAATTAATTGATAAAGAAAAGAATCTTCGTAATTAATAAATTTAAGATAAATAAGAAAAAATTTAATAAAGAATTAATGAAAATAAAAAGAGATTAAATCAACATATTATGGAAGAATAAAAAATAAATGAACGCAAATAAATAGAAGCTAAATCAAGATTAGAGGCTATGAAATAAGAAATAGAATTTATGAATAAGCAAAAGAAAAAGAAACTTGAAAAAAAATTAAAATAAAAAGAAATATATAAAAAAGTAAATGAATAAATTGAAGAAGAAAAAAGATAATAACTTATTGAGAAATTTAAAGCTATTGAAGAAAAATAAGAAATTAATTAATTATATAAATAAATGAATCTTTAAGATTAATAAGAATTAAGAGAATAAACAGAAATTGCAAGAATGAAAATTTTAAGATAGACTGATGAAAAACTTATTGAAAAAACTATAAAAATATAATTAAGAATGAAAGCATAAGAAGAAAAAGCTAAATAAATATTACATTAATTTGAAATTGAAGAAAAAGAGAAAAAATTTGAAAATATTATAAGAAAAATAGATTAGGAAGAAAATTATATTATATAATAAAGAAAGAGAGATGTAGAAAAAGAATTTATAATGAAAAAAATTCAATAAAAAAAGAAGAAAAATGATGAACTAATTAAATAAAAATAATAAATAGAATAAAATGGTATTAAAAATAGGAAAATTAATTTAATGAAAAAAAAAGAAATGAAGATTAAATTTGAAGATGAAATGAAAAAGGAATTTAAAAATAATATAGAAAATTAATACAATTAAAATTAAGTACCTAAATTAAATATTTAAAGCAAAGAAGAATAAATTAATGAAGAAAAAATGATCCTAAACAATGAAATGAGTTAGGTAATTAATATATTATATATTGAAGTTATTGGATTAAGAGTTTGAGAGAGAATAATAAAGATAGTAAATTTTAAAAGATGCCATTGGAGCAGAATAGTTCAATAAATTATAAGAAGAGTTTAGAATTGAGAAAGAAAAATTTGATATAATGTTAGAAAATAAAAGAAGATAATATTATGAATTGTAACAGTAATAACTTTAATTGAATTAATTTTGATCTACTTTAATGAAAAAATTATTTTTAGATTAAATGGAATAAGTTCGATTTCTAAATATCTTCAATTTATTTCTAATTCATTCAAGATACTAAAAATTAGATAAGTGGATTTTCTATATAAATGTATGAAAAATTAAGTGAATGAATTTTTGTTAATTAAAAAATTGAATATTATAAAATGCTTATCTGAATTTCTAAAAATTAAATTCACTCTTTATCATAAAAAATCTTTATGCTTTCAACTTGTTTTCTTAAATATTGTTTTATAAATATTAACATATTTTGTTTTATAAATTTAACACTAAATAAATTAAATAAAATGTAAGAACGATTTAAAGAGGAATTGCTCTCACCTTAATTTAAAGATTAAGAACATGAGCTTTCAACTTAAGAATGCCGGAAATTTTCAAGTGTATGTGCTGCTGAATTCAATACACCTGAAACAAAATACAGATCTACAATAGGACCCAATAGAATGGATATTTCTAAGGATGCAAATTCTTTGCATTTTAGAAATAGAACAGCAAAATTTGAAGATGAATAAAATCAATTATATATGGAAATAAAGAATTTATATGAAAAGAGATAGTTTGACATTCCAACTCTTGTGGAACCAAAAATCTTATTTAAGACAGAAACTATTCCAACCAAATTTATGTAAATTTTTATTATCATAGATATTTATTTATAGCATCAAGAGAAGATAAAATGAACATCAATAATAATCACAATTTAATGATTAAGTATTAATAGACAAAATGCACTAAGCTAATTAATAAAGTCTAAAGAATTTATTTTCTCATAAATTTTGAATATTAATTTAGATATATGTTATAATCTTTATAGATCATAATAATAGAAATAATAATTTTCTATATTATACTTTTACAATAGGTATTATAATATATAAATACTTAAATTTATTATATGAATTATTTTCCTATTCAAAGAGAAGAAGATTGTTTAAAAAAAATTTTGAGTTTAAACATATTAAAAGGATTTTTGGAAGGCAATAAAGTAAACTTCCTATTAAGAGGAATTTTGTTATTGTTTTTAAAAATAGCTTCTGTCAGCTTTGAATATATTCCACCATTTATATTAACTTAATATGAGGAATCAATAGAAAAATACTTATTAGTAATTTTGGCATTGTATGTTGATTGTAAGATATAATAATAATAGTTTTTACTTAGAAATATTATGGAGTATATTTGTCTGAATTGTAATTTCTTGTGAATGCAAATTTATCACAGAAGTTATTTTCTTAATGTTTAAGAGTGCATAATCAAACAACTTTTTAAGGAATGTTAAAAGAATTGAGATAAGTTGAGAAAGCAATTCGATCATTTTATGATTTAATAGCAATTTCTTTTGAATTACCATTTGTATATCATTTGTTGAAGAATGAAAATTTATTTGATTCAATTAAATATGGTGTTATATTGAGTTTATTTGCTTTATTAGCAGCATCAGTAGCTTAGATATATGCATGGAGAATTTAATATTTTTCAGATAAAAGATTGAGACTAACATAAGATATGTTGTGCGGTATAAAAAGTATTAAATATTTATAATGGGAAAATGTTATGCTTAAATTAATAAATATTGTTAGAGAATAAGAATTTTTAGGTAACAAAGGAATTTAATATGTTGATACATTTGTAACTTTTTTTAGAAGAATGACTTAAATTGTATTATTATTTGTTGCCTTTTATAAACTTTAGGAATTAGAAAAAGAATAATTCTACACTATCTTAATATTTTTTGATAAATTAGTAAGTCCAATAAATGCATTCCCTTGGTGTTTTGGTGAATTTTTAGGGAGTATTTTTTCAGTAATAAAACTTTATGATTATTTTAATACAACTGAAATTGAAGCTAAACTTGTTAAAGAAAATACTATTGAAGTAAGTTCAATTAAAAAAATTAGAATTTTTGATAGAGTAATCAATTTTATTAAAGGAGATTCATTTAATTAGGCAAATTAAACAAGATTTTAAATATCTTTAACATTTAATGAAATAAAGAGAAACAAATTAACTTGTATTATAGGTTAAATAGGATCAGGAAAAAGTATGTTGTTAGAATATTTTTGTGATGGATCATATGTAAGTCAAAATGCATGGTTATTTAGTGGAACAGTGAAATCAAATATTTTATTTGGATAAGAATATAATGAATAAAGATATTAATAATGTCTCAAATTAGCTGCTATAGATTTTGATGATAATAAATAAGTAGGATTTAATGGAACAAATTTAAGTGGTGGATAAAAATAAAGGGTAACATTTTGTAGAGCTTTATATTATGACACTTAATCATATTATTTTGATGATATTTTTTCAGCTGTTGATGAAAATGTAGCAGATCATATGTTCAAATCTATTACTACTTTTTTAAAAGGAAAAACTGTTGTTTTAGTATTAAACTAACTCTAATATTTATAATATGTAGATTTTGTTATTAAAATTGAAAATAATATAGCTATTTTAGAAGAAAAGTAAAATTTTCAAGTTGGTAATGTTAATTTTTCACCTAAACCTATTATTGATGCAATCGAACCTTCTTAGCCTGAAAAAGAAATCGATTAAGAAACTGAATAAAATTTAAAGGAAAATTATAAATTTTATATAAATGCATTAGGTTTTAAAATTCTTATATTTTTTGTTGTATGTTCTTTACTTCATTAAATAATGAAAGGTGGATTTGAATTATGGATTCATAATAACATTTCTAATTTAAAAAATTTTGATAAATCAGAGTTTTTAAATGTATTTCTTATTTTATCAGGATTAACATTGTTAAGAGGATTTAGTTATTCATATGCAACTATAATATCTGCAAAAAATATATTTGATTTATTAATGTAGAAATTTATACATTTACCTACTAAATATTATGATATTTTTTCTAGTTCTTTTTATATCAGGAGATTATTTGATGATATGAATGAAATTGATGATCTCCCTTTAAATTATTTTTTTACAGTTTCCCTAGAATTTCTAGGTTTATTCTTACTTATTAGTTCCATGTAATTTGAAATAATTCCTTATGTTATTATCAGTGGCTATTTATTAATTAAAAATTAATTGTTACACAGAAAATTTAAAGTCTCAAGATAAGTAGAAATTAATAGGTACTTTGAAACATAAGACTTTGATTCCTTTATTATTGAAACAGAAAAAGGACATAAATTTATTAAATACTTTAAATAATAAAATAAAATTTAAATTTAATTTTAAAAGATTTTACTTTATAAATATGCTAATTCTTTATCTTAAAGTTAATTAGAATATACTCTTAAATTACGCAATTTTATTGTAGAATCAACTGTTTTAGTATTATTGATTATCACAGGAAATAAATTAAGTTATACTTATGCTTATTTATTATTTGGTAATCAATTTTTATCTAAATCTGTTTCAAGTTGGAGAAGAATCACTATAGTCAGTCAATCATTATAAAGAATTAAATAGATTGTGAATTTCCCTTAAGAATAAAATGCACCAATTTAAGAATACAAAGACAATTTAATTGTTTATGATAATGTTTGGCTTAGTTATGGAATGGCAAAAGGTTTAGCATCTGCAGATTATGCTCTAAAAGGAGTCTCATTTCAAATTTCAAAGGGATAAAAAGTAGCCTTTTGTGGAAGGACAGGATCAGGAAAATCAAGTCTTTTTAATTTACTTGTATCTTTATATGAATTCTAAAAAGGGTAAATTTATTTTTTTGGGAATCCAATCTCTTATTATGGAACAACATAATTAAGATCAACTATGAGTGTAATTCCTTAATAAGGAGTTATATTACCAGGATCAATAAGAGAAAATATTGATCCGAATTAATAATTTAATAATTAACAAATTGAAGATATATTTAAAGAATTAGACTTCTAAATTGACTTAAATAAAAATACTTAAAATTTATCAAATGGAGAAAAACAAATAGTAAATTTTGTATAATCAATATTATTGAATAGAGACATTATTTTAATGGATGAAGCTACATCCAATATGGACATAGAAACTAGTAATAAAATTAAATTATTATTTTAGATAATAAAATTATGAAGAAGTTATTTAATTTTGTATAAAATAAAACCTTACTTCTAATATCCCATAGATTAGAAAATCTTTAATAGTTTGATAAGGTATATGTAATGGGAGAAGGATAAATTTAAGCTTGTGGAACTTATGAAGAACTATTAAAAAATGAGAAATTCTTGGAACTTAAGAGCATATTATGAAATATAATATTATTCATCAGTATTTATCTTTAAAAAACCTTGAAGGAATTCCTTTTTCTGGGTTAATCTAATTTATAAATTATTAGTACTTTATAATATAATTTTTTACAAAACTCTTCAAATTAAGAGAAAGGTATAGAAATTGCACCAAATCCAATATAATTTGCAACATTATTTATAGCACTTGCTGGCAATGCTGTTAATTATAATAATGATGATGTTACACCACATGTAAAATCATAACTTCCTTCAATTAAACCATACAACTAATATAACCTATTATATCATACAAATCCATTATTAGAAATAAAAGGTTTACTAAACATATTAACTATGCCATTTGTAAATGAACTAGCAACTTTAGTTATATCAAGAATATTATATGCTTAAAACAAGATCCTAAAGGTTGATAATTATTAGCTAATTAAAAATTAAATGAAATCTTATTTTGAAGTTTAATTGTTTTAATAAAACTGTAAAACCTAATTAGTTGCTAAGATTAAATTATTAAATGATCCAAATTTTAATACTTATGTTTTTAATCCTTCAACATCCAAACCCTCTGAATCAAATGAAACTATAAATTATATTGGAAATAATTCAACTTGTAAATTAAAAGGATCCTTTTATTTTATAATTTCAAAAGATTCATCATCATCATCATTGATAAATTTAATAGCTACTTCCTCTACTTTTTTTTAAAAGGATTTCAGTAATATTTAAAATTAATATCCAGATAAACATATTCTTATAGGTTTTAATTATAACTTTATTACAAAGTTATTTTAATCAAATTACATTATCAAATCTAAAAATGGACTTTCTTTTATTATTTCATTTTGAATATCTTCAAATTCATTTAGATCTACCTCATCAAGTATATATTTAAATTTACTCTATTCATGATTATCTAATATAAAAGCTCTACCCAATTTTAAATGACAACACTTATCTCCCAATTAAAATTATATATAATGTATATTTATTTCAAAAGTTTGAGATTCTGATGTTAAAATTAATTGATCACATAATATTTCGAAACTTATTGTTTTCATTTAAATTTTATCTAATTTTTAATAATTTTTCTTTTCATTAATCTAATCTTATTTAAAATCTTTAGATAAATGTTCAAAATGATCTATAAGATCTACAATTATCTATTTAGAAATATGGAATAATTGAATAGAATTGATTTTCATAAATTTATTATTCAATAATTCAATTTTTTAAATCTATCCTATTTTTTAGAATTAATTTAAATTGATTAATTCATCATTTCTATCTTTTGTATTATTATTTTTAAAATAATGTTATATTTCTTCAATTTCAATTAAATCATTCTTAAAATGTGTATTATTTATTATTAAAATTGATCTTGTCCAAGATGGATAAGATTCTTTTGAGTATTTCAATTTAGCTTAACCTTTTTTCTACAGAATAATTTCCTCATTGTAGAAAGGTAATACATCAATCATTATTGATTTAAAAAAAATATTAATTTCTGATTTTTCATTTTATGGTTTATTAGATTATTAAGGAGGATTCAATAACTAAATTGAGTTTATAAGTCTTTTAATACAAGAGTTTAATATATCAAAATTAAAATTAATTAAATTTAATTTTAAAGCTGAAAATTCAAGATTTATCATATTTTATTTCATAATTAGATTGAATATCCATTTATCTTAAAGTTAATTTTGAAGTAATTTTTAAGGATTATTTTTATCTAAAACATTTAAATCTTCTAATAGTATAAAATGATAATCAATTGTGAAATAATATTTGAATTGCTTGAAACATAAAATTAAAGTTTAATATAATGTAGCTTCAATTGTTTTTATTTTAGTAGAAAAGTATATATTCTATTGTTTTTTCGAATTAATTTATGTTTATTTCTAATTACCATTAAATACTTAATTAATTTAAGCAATCATCCTATAAAAATTATCAAATGAATCATGTTTTAAATATACACTATCTATTTGCAATTCAAAATGTAACTCTTACTTTAATTTACATTCTTTCAAGTATTAAATTATTTATGTTTTTTTTTATTCATCTAATTTCTTTATATTTTATGATGAAGTTTTGAGTAATGATCCAAAATAACCAGTCAAATTATTTATTAATATTTAATTATTAAATCCGCAAATATTTTGACATCCAAATTTGAATTAACTTTTATATTTATATACTGATTAGGATAGTAAATCATCTTCATCTGGAGTAGTAAGGAAGAAATCAATAAAATTTAATTATATATAATCTTGTTCCCCACTTTGCATAATACAACTATTAGTGTATTGAGATTCATTAATATGATAATATAATGAAAATTTAGTTTAAGATATATAGAATTTAGTCTTAGAAATATTTTGATTATTAGATTTAGATGAGTTCTGATTTATAATATCAACAATTTTCATTATAAATTACAGTTAATTTTAGTCTAATATTAAGTTAAAAGGTGTTATGTCCATATTAATATTTTAATCTATAATTTCTAGTTTAATTGGACTAACAAATTGAGTTTAAGAAATAAATATTGTTGGTTCTTCAATTAGAATTTCATGACCATCCTAATATAAATCCTCATTAGAGTATTAATCTTTTCCTGTTTTCATGATTAACTTGCATAAATACTTTGAATTATCAATTATAACAAAATCTTATTCTAATTTCTAAATTGAATCTCTTATACTTTTAAATTTTGGTTCTAATTTTTATAATTCATAAATTAATGCAGAATTAATAAATATATTAAATTTATTATTTTTTATTATTCTTATATCACATAATGATATTGAGTAGTAGTTTTCTAAATCAAATTTAAAATTCTTTTATTAAAAATTAAATTATTAATCAACATCATTAGATGTAATATAAAGAGTTAAACCTTAAAAACAAGAATTAAAAAATTCTTTTTATTCATTCATTTATTTAACTGAGGAATGGAAATTTTAAATTTTAGATTCTGGAATATTTTAAATTATAATTGTACTTTCAGCAATATCTTCTTACCTAATTTTGGTTTAATTATATGATTTCTTAAAATATTCTACTAATTTATATTTATTTAAATTTATTGTTTTTTTTAGTTCTTCTTTTTATTAATTATTGATATTTTGAATTTATTAATTCTTATTACTTTAACTTAATACTTCATTTATGACATTTTTTCTTTATTCTAAAACTTATTAACTTTAAGCTAATAATGAAGAAATTTAATCTATTTAATTTAATGATATAACTATTTGAAGTTATTCAGCTTAAATTTTTATTTTCGGTTCTGCATTTTAAGTTAAATAGACATCTAATTTAACAGCATTATTTATTTAACCTATTTATTTATTTTCATTTAGATATAGTTATATTTAATCAATGAATGCTAATAAAAGAATTTAATTGGTATTTTAAGGTTTTTACATAGTGCAATCAATTTTATTGATTTGAAAAGATAAATTAGTTTCTGTATCTGATTTTATTTTGCCTACAAATTTAACCCTTAAATTTTTAATATCTATCTTAATATTTCCAAAAATGTTATCGATGATTCTTAAAATCAAAACAATCTTTGATGAAGGTTCTTTTTATACATTTTATTGTATTGGAGATTAGATTTCATCTTAAAAATAAGAATCATCTCCTTAATTCTAAAATATAAAAATAATATTTATTACTAAAAATTCATTTTTTAATTTCTCAATCTATATATGAAGACTTTTGTTCATTATATCTTCAACTTCTAATGATTCTAAAGCTTCTTCTTATTAAATTTATGTATTTAAATCCAATATCAAATCTACATCACTCATTTATAATTGCAATTTTTCAAGTTTTAGAAATTCTATCATTAATAAAGATTATATACTAATTGAAAATTCTTTTAAAGTATTAGTTTTCATTAATCCATTTAAATATTTTGTATTTAAATTAATATTAGTAATTCCTTTATTTAAATCTTTAATAGCAATTTTCTACTCAAATATGTTTTCAAAATTATAGTCAATAATAGGTTATAATGTTTTTTCAATAATTTTTGATTTAGCTTTGGATGCAAGTCCTCCAAAGAAAGAAAAGATAGGTTCAAACATTATATTTGATATCAAAAATATTTATAATAAAATGATTATGATTAATTCATTTAATAAAATTCATATAGATTATAATTTTATTAAATATTTACATAAATTCGACAATATAGATTTGAAATTCTAATTGTAATGTTAAAAATTTATATATAGATATTAGAATAAAATATTAAAATAATATGATACTCAGATCATATTAAATGATGTTAAATTTATGTAAATGATACTTTTATATAATAAATTTAAATGTAGATATGAATTTTAGAATGTAATTGATATTATTATATATATATTAAATTATTAAATAACTTTTGATAATTATAGATAATTTTAAGAGTTTAGAAATTCCAAAAGGACATTTAAAAATTAGAAAATTTATGTTTTTATAAATATATTTGATGTTTATTCATATACCAGCAAAAGACTTGTATGTTAGTGAACCTGATCCTCGATATTTTGGTAATCCCTAAAACGATGATGCTAAAGTTAATTGGTTAAAGAGTAGATTCCATTTTAGTTTTGCAGGTATTAATTACTAAAAATTGAAGAATACCGTGATCCATAAAATTAATCATTTGGAGTATTGAGAGTAATGAATGATGACTTAGTTTAACCTAATAGAGGATTTGGAGAGCATCCTCATTCAAATATGGAAATTGTAAGTTACATTGTTTAAGGAGAATTAACACATGGAGATTCAAAAGGAAATAAAGAATCACTTGGAAGAGGATCAGCATAATATATGAGTGCAGGATCAGGAGTATACCATTCTGAATTTAATTTATCAAAAAAAGAAGCTTGTAGATTTATATAAATTTGGATTTTGCCAAGACAAACTAATACGAAAGTTTAATACAAAAGTTATAGAGGTTAAAATGGTTAAGCTGATAATAAATGGTTTCATTTAGTTGGAGATTTATAAGAAAATTCATTAGCTCCTGCTAAAATTAATCAAGATGCTAATATTTGGATCAACGAATTTACAACAGAATAAAGATTTGAAGTATTACTATATGAATAAATTATAGATCAAAGAAGGTAGATAAGCTTATCTTTTATGTGTTGAAGGTTCATTTGAATTGAATATTGATTCATGTTTACCTTTACAAGATGTCAAAAGCTAATTAGTAAATTAGCATGATGGAGTAAAGGTATTCAAAAGCATAGTTCTCAAACCAAAAGGCAAAGCTCATGTCTTATTGATTGAGATGAAAAAGTGATTGACAATCACTAATATGATATATATATATATATAAGTATCAAATTATAAAAATATTTCATATTATATCATTTTACTTTTCTTCTTCTATAAAATAAAACATATGCTGCATCTGTGACTGGACTTGATCTTAATTCTTTCACTTAAGAATCATTAAAATCAAACCAGGCATTATACATTGGATTTTTGGCATAGGCTGTATAATGTCCACCTCCCATTCCACCATAATGATTGGAAACTGCAAATAAGTCATAAGTATATGGTTATTGAGATTCCTTAATCTTAAATAAATAAAAATACTTTTTCTAAAATAAATGGTTATATGTTGAAATTTTCAACAGGGAAATCAACATATTAGACTATTTTAGTAACTCCTCCTACAGAATAGGTACCATAAAATTAAGTGACTCTTGTGGATCTAAATCTTTTTAAATGCATTATCAGAATTTAAGGTGCCTAAATTATATGGATATTTATTATACTTTATATATTTACATTTATTTCTTTGCTTTTTAATGTTTTTTACATTTAGAACAATACCACTCATTTCCAGCTCCTAAGACCTCTTCTTAACAAAATTAATTTAAACAATCATTTAATGTTATTGTTTACATAGAACTTTGATTTGAAACTTATAGTGTAAAATCTGCATCAACACATCTATTTAATTTTAAAAGTTCAGCACGTAATTTAAATTATGCGTTTAATATTATTGATTTTCCATTTGCTTCTATTTATTTATCTGTAAATGGTAAAAGCCTATTGTTCTCATCTTAGAGTTAAAATATATTTTCTTTTAATTTTAATAACTCTTAATATTCTTCAAATTAATCTTTGTATATAACTTTTTTAATATTCTTTAAAAACTATTCAAATTCCTTATTCAAATTTAAATTATAAGTTATATCGCTAATCTGTAATATATGAGTTCTAAAGATCTAATAAATAATAAGATGAAGTTCTTAATATGTTGTTTGACTATCTACATAACAAATTCTTGTAAAAGATATTCTATAATTCTATTGATTTAATCTATTTTCTTCAAATTTTCTAACATTACAGAGTACTTAATAATATGGTGATTTTATTTTAGAATCATATTTAGATATTGGTTTATCTATTTTTTCATCAAATTCTTCATATAAAAATGTTGTAGCTTAAGTCTCTTTTATTTATTTAATTGTTTATTCTGGTGAAATTCCATCGTCAATAATAGCTGAATCTTATAAAGAATAAAATTTTAAATATTCAGCTTTGATATTTTTAATCTTTGAAATTATATCTATAACTTCTCCAGCTGTTTAAGTTGATTGTAAAGTTTATTAAATTTTCAAAGGTGTTTAATTAGAATCTCTAAAAATTAAATAAAATTGAAATTAAACATATTCTTTACTAGGAATTGGTAATGATATTGTAACAAAAGGATCAAAAGTTATAGATACAAAATTACACTCAGGACATTCTACTCTTGATTTAAATTATCCTGTAAAAAGATCTATAATTTTAGAATCATTTCTCTTTTTATGATTTTCCCAATATATATCTGCAAATTCTTAATCACTTTAACCCTTATATTCTATATCTGGAATGTATGGTTTCTTTTTAATTCTATTCAAATCTTCATGTAAACCATCTAATAAATATGAGAGTAATTCTTATGAGTCTTATTAACTATAACCATTAAATTAAGGAGCTTATTATCCTATCACTTTTTTAACATTCCAAGGTGCTACACTAGTTGATGTAGATTCATAAAGATCTTTTAATAATTCAGCATAATTGCAAGCTAATCTACCTCCTGTACCTAATGGATTTTTTTCATTTAAATCTTATAGAAAAGTATTGTATATCATATATTCAGTTAGTTCAGTTACATTACTCAAACATTATAAACTAGAATTCATAAAACAAGTATTTCCTAAATTACTTAATCCACATATTCCTTTGGCTGAATTTTTAATTATTTTAGCTGGAGGTCTAACTTTATATTTTTTAGCTAATTGATTTATTAAAGAATCCTTTTCCATAATTTCTAAATTAATAAATAAAAGAATTACTTTTACAAACATCTTAATGATTCTTTAAATCATTAGCTTAACATGTTTCATTACAATATTTAACACTTCTACATTCACATAAATAAAGTTAAGATTCTTAATTACCACAATTCGCACATTTATTAGGAATACTTATTGTTTATAAATTCTCTTTTTTTTATAATCTATATTAATCTTATTCTAATTCTAAAAGTAAAACTTCTTCAGGTCCTATCTCTGCTTACTTATGTAATAAATAAGAATACTTCTAATATATTATCTCTACTTAATTTTGTACCAACTACTGATTAACTTTTCATTAATTCTTCTTAATTGATTTCTTTAGGAATCTTCCAAATATTTCTTACTTTTTAATTAGTTATCCTATGTACTTTATTAATAAGATCTTCCATTCTTTCATTTCCATTAAATTATAAATTTATTATCCTTTAAGATGATTATGGGAATAACTAGCATCTAACTTAAAATAAATGTGTTTCAACTGCATGTTAACTTCTACATATAATTATTCTTTTTATTTCAACACCACCAAATAATCCATATAATAATCTCCATATCTAGCTACTTACAAATATGAAATTCTAATTTTCTCTAATAGATTTGTTTAAAGCATAATTTGAATAGCTTTTTGCTTTCAATGGGTCTTTCTCAAATTATGTTTATATATCAATTAAATCATCATTATAAATTGGACATATTTGTATATCACTATTATTTTAGGTTGAATTTGATATTTTTTCCAATTCTTCATATGTTTATTGATTACAATATTATTTAAATATTTCTACAAATGTTTCATCTTCCATTGAGTTCTTTATATAATATAATTACATCATACATTCTTTTTTGCAATAAATGATTTTAATTAATCTGGATTTTCCCTTCTCAATTCATAATATTTTGTGAATAAACTAAAACGAGCAATCCATTAAGAACTAATTAAATAAGCAGGATAACCTTCTTATTAAAAATATAGATCTTAATCCTATTTAAGAAATAATTATTATAATTTTTTGGCTAAAACTGCTTTCTCATCATCACTATACATTTAAAATATTCTCTATTTATTATCCAAATAATCTTGCAAATATGATTTCTTCTACTCTAATATAATCTCTAATTAAGTCCACATCTTTCTATTCTTACTCTTTTATAATTATTTTTAAACATTTTCTATTTTAATTATACATTCTTATAACTGATTCATTTTTTATAAGGATTGTATTGATATCCATTCTAATTCTAATTTAAGCCATTCTACTTAATCAAATTCTTGAGAATCTAATTATTGAGTCTCTTGAGAACATCCAAAGTAAGCAATTAAATGACTTAAATTAAAATCATTTAATCTATAGCTACAAAGTGCTAATAGTAATAATGCTAATGAACTAATATCTGTTAAAATATTTAAAAGATATTTACTATCTGTCTTTTTATCTTAAACGTTTTGTAAACTTAATTATGTCCTTAGAGATTATTTCAATTATTAACACACCTCTACTAGATTCTTAATTTAATTTAGTTTGTACTTGTTTACCCTCCAATTTTTCATATGCTCTCTTTATTACTCTATCATTACAATTATTGATGGAATCCAATAAATATTATGGACATATCATTTTGATAATCAATTAAAGAATATATATATATATTTATCATGTAAAATATTTTAATCTTTCTTTCTCTTCTTCACTTATTTCATTTACAATTTATTCTTCTTTTTCTTCTTTTGGTGGCTCTACACAATCGATCTATTGTTCGCATTGTAAAAAATCCTTTCTATTTTTTAATTTTATCTTGAATCTTCAATTTTGAAAACTTAATTATTTGTTCAGATCTGGCTTATCTGGATTTCTCTTTTAATTTATATATCTCATATTCATCAGGAACATAGAATGGATTATCACCATATTGTGATGATATATCATGAATATTTGGGTAATTAAGACTGCATAATAATTAATTTTGTTATTTCATTTTTTAGATTATTGATTAATTATGCTTGTTTAGGCCAATATAATCCCTTATATTTTATTAATAAGTTACATTAATAGAGTTTTATTACTATTGTAAAAAGAGTATTTTTTAATTTCAATAAATATCAAAGATCAATAGTTTGAAATGAAATCTATGTAATACTCAATGAATGTGAACAAAAATTCTTAAAGATTTAACATAATTAAATATTGATGATTGTATTAATTATTTTTACTGTCTAAATTTTAGTAGAAATTATAATTTTAGATATTAGATGCATTTGAATATCAATTTTTAAATAAGATTGAAAAATATACATTTTATTTCAAATGTTCTACATATTCAATTGATAGATTAGATTAATTGACTATTGATAATACATTTGATATTGAATTTTAGATAGATATCCACCTTTTTTTTTTGGATAATATGAATTATATGGTCTTGAGTAGAATAATTAAAATAATATAGGTGATATTTAAAATAGATTTAAGAATGAAAAAAATGTAAATCGATAAATATGCAAAGAAGAATTATATAAGTTATTTGCTAATCCATCGTTTAGTTTAGATTAATAATTTAAATAATTTTAATATATTTTGGATGGATAAGCAATAAAAATATTATACTCTTCACTTTCTACAATCTAATATTAAATATATTTTTTTTGTTAAATTGATATAGAGTTTAAAATATAAATAAGAACACATCTTATATGTTATGAAGATTATAATTTTTAACAATTTGTTAATTTATTTGGATCTCAATATAATGTAAATAAATTTTTGTTAATATTAAATATATACAGAATTGATAATATGTAGAGGACATAATCAAATGTTTCTATTCTTAATGCCTGGTTTAATTTAGAGAAGGCTTTGATTGATGCTTAAGTACCTGAAAATGAATAGGTTGCAATAATTTCAAGGCCACCTACATCAAAGATGATGAGAGATTATTCAAATTATCACTCAGTATGAGAATGGTTTGAACTTTAGCAACAAAGAGCTTAATCATTAAGACCTTTGACTGGATTGACAAGACCTTCAACTGCAATAACAATGAAGAAGCCTATTGAATATTAAGATAAAACAGCAACAATTTAATAATCTTAAAGAAAGATGTTTAGAAAAAAAGTGAACCAAAGACCCTTTAAAAAGTATGGTTTTGATAACATTCATATTCAGAAGTAATATTAAGTTTAATTATAGGGAAGAATAGGAAGGAGATATATCAGAAGAAGAACTTAATTTATCAGCAGTTATACATACTTTAGATGTGGATTAAATAATAGATTTATATAATAGTAAATGTAAAGATAGAGAACTTGAATATTAACCAGAACATGCTGTTTTATTTATAGAAAAGTTTAAGAAATTATGCATAGATGAATAATTCATTTGTGAAGACAATTAATTAGGTTTAGAGAGTGCCAAAACAATTAGAGATATTTTACTCTATAACAATCATTTTTCTACATTAAGATTAGCAAGAAATTCAATAGGAGATGAAGGCCTAATGGAATTATTAGAGATGTTGAAAGTCAATAACAATATAGTTCATATAGACTTATCAAGTAACAATATAACAGCAGATGGGGCATTTTATTTATTTAATGAATTAGTTCCATTACATTCAATTATATCTATAGAATTATCAAGTAAGGATGGTTTGAATAGGAATAAAGTATCTGTTAAAGGATGTGAACCAATTGAAACTATTTTAAAATACAATCATCCTTTGTAATTTTTAGGTTTGAGAGGAACTTCAATTTAAAATGCTGGTTTTGAATGTATTCTATCTGGATTGTAGACAAATAGTACATTGGCATATTTAAATGTTTCTAATAATGATTTAAATGAAGAAGCTTGCAATTATATGGTTTAATATATTTCAGTTTGTCATTTAGTTGAATTAGATTTAAGTTATAATCCTTTGGGTAATAATGGAATGGATTATTTATCAAGGATATGTGATAAAGGTAGTTTTATGTTAAAAAAATTAAATTTGGCAGGATGTGAAATTAAATCATTAGGAATATTGAAATTATTTTAGAGTTTAACAGTAAATCGATTTTTAGAAAAGTTAATTTTAGATGAAAATCATTTTTCTGGGAATGGGTTCAATTAAATTGAACATGTTTTAACATCTAAAATACCATTAACTTATTTATCAATGGCTAAATGTAGTATTAATGCTTCAGGAGCAGATTATATAGGTAATGGTATTGAAAGAAATAGAACACTTAAAACACTTATATTAAGAGATAATAGATTAACTGATATAGGAGCAGAGTGTATATTTAAAGGATTATTTTTTGAAAAATTAGATTTGAAAAGATGCAATCTTACAGATAAATGTGTATTAGGATTATGTAATATGATTAAATAAAGTACTTAATTAACAACATTATTATTACCTGATAATGGTTTTCATGATTCTTCAGGAATTGTTATATGCGAAGCTATTAGAATTAATTCATCAATGTAATTATTATGGAATACTTAGATTAAATTTAGATATTTGTGAAAATCCATTGAGTTATAAATATATTGATTAAATAAATAAAGTTATTGAAACCAATAGATTGAAATATGATCTTGATAGAGTACCTATGTATAAAAGAGAAATTGTTAAACTTAATAATATTATTTAAATGAAACCATCATTAGAAAAAGATTAAAATGAAAATTAACAAAAAAAAGCAAGATCAATTTAAACATTAGAAAAAACAATTGAAGAAAAAAATAAAGTTAAAATAGAATAAATATAAAAAACTACTGATATGGATACTAGATTATAATAAATTTAATAATAATCAAGATAAATGGATATTGATAAAATTAAATTTGATAATGAATCAAATATGTATTTAATTAAAATGGATGATGAAATAAATGATTTTTAAAAGAAAATGTCTGAATGTCATTAAGTAATTACTCGTTTAGAAAAAGAAATTCGAGGTTTAAAAGATTAAAGACATGTTCGGAAAGGTCAAAGTGATTCTAGATTAGAAATGTTAAGATAATTAAATAGAGCAGAAGAAAGAGCACTTTAAAGAGCAGAAATGGAAAAGAAATAATTGGAAGAAAGGATAAAGGCCATGTAAGGAAAAGAATCCATTACAAGTAGAAGGAAAACTAAGTAATTGTCTTAAAATATTTAATAAAAATAATGAATAAAAAATATACATCTTCCAATTTAAATCCTAAAATCTTAGACGATAGAGATGAAATTAACTTTGGAACTTCTCTTATTGATGTTATCTTGGATAAGAAACATTTTAAATATTTAACATGCTTTCTTGATACTTTGAGTCTTATTAATCTATAACTTTCATCAAAAGTCTTTAAGATCAGACATTGGAGAATTTATTTTAAGAAGATTATATTTGAAAGATTATGTAAGCCATTGGATCATAGATTAATCTCTTAATTTAGCATTGATCAAAAATGTGTATAATTTATATTTTGGGATTCTGTAATTGATTTTAAAAGGTTAAACTTATAATATTCACATCAATATAAGTATTACTCATGTTAACAATCAATAGAAGCATCTAATATATAAAAAGATATTGATCGTACATTTTAATAACATTAATACTTTAAATAAATTCATAATAGATAAAGATTATAAAGAATTCTAATTGCATTATCTAAAATACAAGAATAAATTGGTTACATTTAAGGATTTAATTAAATTGCAGGTTGTTTCTTAATTAATGGTCTTAATGAATAATAAACTTTTTGGATTATGTATTATATTTTAAAGAAAATGAAATACTCAACAATATTCTAAGATTAATTTAATGAACTTAAATTTTGGAATTTTACTGTTGCAGTATTTTTAAGAAATTATGTTCCATCTCTATCTAATGAATTTGTAATTCTCTTTATTTATTTAGTTATAAAACAAAATAGATGTTGGAATTATAACAACTAGATGGTTTTTAGTGATTTTTGGCTATGATCTACCTTAATAATTAGTAATAATATATTAATATTTATAAGTTGATTTAAATTTGGAATATGTTCTTAATAAAAGGTATTAAAATATTAATAAGAGTCTCTATTGCAATTTTTAAATTAGTTTCTGATTTTGAAGGAATCAATGATTTATATGAATTACTCAAAGAAAATCTATTTGATCTCTTAGAAACAAATGTTTAATTATAAGTTAAGCTAATTGAATATTTCTTGACCATTAAAATAACCAATCGTTTAATATAAGAGTTAAGATATAAATTTGAAATTGGAGATGAATCTTTAAGTCTTTCATTTGATTAAATCTAAAAAAAACATTATTGGAGAAAAGGTGGTGATAGTGCAAGAAGTTTAATTAGTTCATTTAATGAAATAATTAGTGAATTTTAAGAAGAAAAAGATGCATGCTTTTAGCGATCTTAATTGTTCATGAATGCTTTTTTTCCAAAGATGATTAATTAACATTATTTAGAAATTTCAGAAGGTAAAAAACATTTATCTATTAATAACATTGAAAAAAGGCCAAAATTGATAAAACGATAGATTATATCTTAATAATTTAAAATGTCTATTCCATAATCAGCCAATGGAGATTAAGTATTAATGAAAATAATTAGGAATCTAACATATATGCAGATGAACTTTAAAGTAGAATGAGTCCAAAGGATGATGAATCTATAGAACTTGAATGTACTCCAGAAAAAATATTCAAATTTTCTAATAAAAAAAGATGAATAAATATCGTATTTTCATAATTTACTATCAATATAATATTATTTTTCATTAATATTAATTATACAAAGCAAAATAGAATACTATAATGATAAAAATATAAATTTCCATTGTTTATCAGAATTGGAATTTAAATTGTTTAATAGTTAATTTATTTGTATTCTTAAAAAAAAAAAGAATATATATTTAATGTAAAAAATAAGAAAAAGAGAAGGTAGGTAGTTGAATATTAGAAATCTGCATATTAATTAATAATTTTATAATTAAACATAAATTTTAGTATAAAATAGATAGATTTCTTAATATTTTGGTATTTAAAAATGCCTTCTTACTTACAAACATAATTATAATAATGAAATTATTTTTATCAATAGGAAGAAAATAAAAATATATTGAGTAACAACTCTTATAGATTATGCTTAAAATATATTAATATAATTAAAATATAAATTAATTGATATGATTAGAATAAAATTCATCTAAAAATACATTTTAATTCATTGTAATAATTATTCAATCTTACTCATTTATCTCTTCTTTGATTATTAAAAATACTATTACGAGTTTGAAATTTGTACATAAAATATTATAAATTTATTTAATCTATTAATAATATCAAAGAAATATTGAAATGCCAGAAGTATTAAATATGAAAATGATCTTATAATATTTTAGTTTGAAAAATAAAGAAAATTTTCAATAATTCAATAATATAAAAACATAAAATAGCTAAGGTGGTTATTTTAATTTTAAAAATAAATATGTATATAACCTCTCATTATTATGAAAATTGTTATTAAAATAATTATTATTGTTATGACAATGGGATTTTATATTAACAATCTTATTTTTTCCCCTATTCAAAGATTGTATGTTCAGTTTCACAAATACCACATAAGATTTTTCTTGTTGGACTTAATCTTAAAGTTTTCTTACAGACATTTGATTTATGTCCAACTTCCTAACAAGATTTACATATAACTGGTTTAACATTTATTTCACTTTATTTGAATGTAGCTTATTCTTATTTTAATTTTGAATAAAATTTTTCTGTAAATTTAAGTTCTTAAGTTCTATCATTCAAGTCGAATAATTTGACATGTTACATTTTACATTCAGGTCCATCCTTACAAAATCCATATACATAATCCATGCATAATTTCCTTACTATATGTTTTCTAAAAGTTTTGATACAAATTTAACTTATCACATTAAGAACCCAAATAACAAAATCCTTTGTCATAATCAGGACATGGCCAATATTTATGTTCTAAAGGGCATTAAAGTTTCATGCAAATATCTTTCTAAAATTCCATACATAAGGGCTTGTCTTTAGAATTTGTAGGATTGAACATAGAAATCTAAATAATTTAATTAGTATAATTAATCATTTTTTTTTTTTTACTTTTCTATCATTTAGAGAGCCTAATAACATCCACATATTCTCATCATTAGGATATCCAATTACTGGAAAGTCAGAATGTGTTTCTTCTTTGATTTAAGGAAGTTAATCTTGAATAAGAATTGATAATTACAAATTGATGGTAATGATTATTTATGTGGCTACTATTATGGAGGGAATAAAATATCAAGTGTTAATTTAAATGCATCATCTAACATTCTTGGAATATACATTTTTAATAATGGACTTGATTCTTCTATACATGGATTTGTATTAACTTCTATTAACCACACTTCTTAATCTGCATCTAAAATAAAATCAAATCCAAAAATCTCAAAACAATATTTTCGGTCTTCAAAATTTATTTTGCTACGAACAGAATTAAAAACCATCCATATTCTTTCTTTCATTTTATTTATAAGCTTAAAAAATAATTTATTATTTTTACATCTTCAACATTACATACTATATTTTATGATTTTAAATAGTCTTAATAGTTTTTAAATGATAATTAATTACCATCTTCAAATTCTCCATAATTTTTTGAATATTTTTAAATTGCATTATTTGTTAAATGAACAAAAGTATTCTCAATATTATAGGTGAAATCTTCAGAGGATGTTCGAATGTATCCTTCTTAAAAAAAATATGCATCCAACTCTTAAGTCACTAATCCCCAAACTCTTATATCAAATTTTCTTTTATTAATCAAAGCTGGTCTTTCAATATATTTTTGAATAACAAATGATTGAGATTTTATAATACAAGGTCCTGATGGTTATTATCTTATATATTAATTAGGATCTTTTTTAGTCCCTTACGCACTTTACACTTACTTTGGTGGATCTTCTTCCCCAGAAGATTCATCCTTTTAATTCAAAGTCTTTTCTTTTAATCCTTCTTAAAACTCTGATACCAACTTTACTAAAGTTTCTAAATTATCAAATATTTAAATTCCTCTTCCTCTATTTAAAAAAGTAGGCTTTAATAACCACATATAGGTTGAATCTTCTGATAGAAATGTATTATTCATTTGAATTTTTTGAAACTAAGAACTTGAATCCCTTTAATAAGAATTACTGAAATTCCCTCTCAATCTTCTTTTAACATCAAGCATCTATTTGGCTAATGGTTTTTTAGGGGCAAATTACTCATAAGTCTTAAGGAATTGTGTAATATTATAATCACAATTCTCATCACTAAAATCAATCACAAATGTTAATGGAGTATAATCAAATACATTCAATTTATGTTTCTAAAAATATACTTATATTTACTTCGCAATATTAAGAAAGATTTTTAATTAGATATGATTTATTTGAAATTTCTCTATGATGTTCAAAGTGATTAACAAGTTATTTGTAATTTTAACTTACTATTAATCTTTCATATCTGTAACCTCTTTCACTTTATTGCCATTTAAAATTAACAAACATCGAACTAGAGTCAGTGGTTTCTTTCCATTATGTCCTTTTAGACATAACTCGTTTTATTAAGGCCTCATTATTGCCCCATCCAACATAATACTATTTGAATTAAACTTATTTATTTACTTTTAAACAAAACTCTTAAGGAGTTGGTTTGAACTGATTTCTTTTTTTAGAAAAACTAGTTGATTTAGGATTTAATTTTCTAGTCACATTAGGTAGTAGCTCTTGTTTTTATTATACTCTTTCTTTTGTTTTGCTCTTTTTATGTTGTAATTATGATTAAGTGAATTATGGTTTTATTTATGGGCTTTAAGACTTGAATTTTGTTTCAGTTTTATTGCGTGGTCTTCTATTTTCTACTGTTATAGTTGATTCTTCTGACAAATTCATAATTATAATTCTTGAAAATAATTATTTTATATATTTATTAATTGAAAGATGATGCAGATACTAAAAGATTTTAGTTTTAATGAATAATTGAATAGAAAATATTTATATAATATTTAACATAATAAATATGATAAGAATATTTCTTCAGTTTAATCAAGATACTCATTCACCAATTTTTAATGTTTTGAGACCCTATAATTTCTATACATTTTTAGAAATAATTTCACTAAAAAAGATTAATATTATTATTTTACGTCTTTAGGGTTTCATTCTTCTAAATTGATCTTATAGTTCTACTAAATCCTTCAGGTTATTTTTCCAATAATTTATTTTGTAAAGTTATGCTTTAATAATATAATGAATCAACATTAAATTCATACATTGAGTTTAAAGAATCATCCATTGATCTTGAAGATTTTTATGATATTCCATCTTTTAGATTCAAATAAGATTGCTTATGAAATTTCAGAGGTATTCTAGAAATTTGATTGTGTGGTACAATCCCTGCAGAAATAAGCAAAGACTTTTTCACTTTCGATTAAATTTCTTTATCATGAAAAGGATCTTCAACATGAAAATCAGTTATATATTTAATCAATTCTAAATCATTATTTATGTATTAATTTTTTAAGTAATTTTATTTAATAAATGGAACTATTTATTTAACATTCCTAAGACTATGTAAAGATTAAGATTGTTAATGAACAATATTTTTATATTAAGAATTTAAGAATATTTTCTTTTTAGCTTTTTCATTTTAAATGAAATCTCTTGTTTACAATTCATCTATATATTCTTTAGCTTTTTAATTAATTTAAAATTTGATAGCTGAAGTTTAAGTAGGAGGATCATATTTATTTTTACTTTCATTTTCATAAGTAGCTGTTTTTAAAGTTTAATATGGATTTTAGTGTTAGATCAATTTAAATTGATTTCCATTAACAATATTCTTCTATATTAGTGGAATTGATTTTTTTTCCATATATCTTCTTGATATTAATTTAATATATTCATCACTAATATCATACATTTATTTAATAACACCAACATTTTTTAATTCTCTACTTCTTTTTATGATATCTTCCTCTTCCTTTAATTTAATCTTATGTTCAATTAAATTTCTTAAAACAGCAAATCTAGATTCAATCCTTGATTTTTTAGAGATTTCATCTGATTTGTCTTTCAATAATTTAAGAAATCCTTTTTATTTTGGATGTTCATTTTTAGAATTGTTATCTTATTCAACTCTAAATAATTTAAATTTTTTTGGAGAATTAGGTCTTTGTCTATCAAGCAATTCTGACTAATTTTTACGTGTTAAAAACTCACAAGCTGATATTTCACCTTTGATAAATTTTTCAAAATTGTCCCTTACTGAAGGACTGTAGTAAACATTGTTACCACAAAACATTGGAGCTTCTCTCAAAAAAGCAGGATCTATATGTTTATTTCTTTTCTTTTATCTAACGAGTCCTTCACCTAAGAAATTGCCAAACATAATATTCCAATTTTTAAGTCTCTCATCTTATTATTTTGGTTCATTTTATTCAGTTTTAATATCACTAAACTAAAATTTGTCCAATTTATACACAACTAGTAGTTTAAGTTGGCTCTCTTCTTCTAAGTGTTAATCTTTTCATTAAATTATTTATGATTTTTAATCGAAGAATCTGGAAAGTTGTATTTCATCCAACACCTCGTTTTTATTTCTTTTAACCTCCATAGTTTGATGTTAATAAGGATTACTATAAAATCTTAAATTGTTCACCTACAGATCATGAACAAAAAATAAAATAAGAATATTATAAACTAGCAAAATAATATCATCCTGATATTAATAAAGGAAATGAAGAGAAGTTTAAATAAATCAATGAAGCCTGGGATGTACTTAATTTAATATTTACTTAGGTTCTATCTGATAAACATAAAAAATAATAATATGATTCAGCAAGATCCTATACCAATAATAATAATGAAACTAATTTTAGAGCAAACTAGGAACATGGACAACAATAAAATTATGAAGAATTTATAAGAAAGTAAGGTCCAAATGGTTTTTATCAATAATATACATATAGAAGTAATTATTAATATTTATAGAAGGCAACAATAATTCCTAATAATTTTCCAAATAATAAATGGAAGAAATGTAAAGATAAGCTTAATAATTTATGAATATGTTTTAGAATGGACAATTCACATAGTTCTCTTAGGCATTTCGATAAGCCACAAAAGATGATCCTAAATTCAATAGAGTTCATGCATTTATGAATCTGGCTGAAATGGCAGGTAAATTTTATGAAGAAAGACAGAGATCATAAATGGAAAATGAAATAAAAAGATAATAAAATGTTTAATCATTTGCAAATAAAGAAGAGAAACTTAAAGACAGTTTAAACAATATAAAAAGTAGTATTAAAGGATTATGGGATTAATTTACTAAAAAATGAATTTCTATATTCATATTATTTATGTTTATATTATCTGTTGATTATTTAATAAATAGATTACCATAAATAAAATTAAAGATTTTTATATAAATTGATTAAATTACAATCATTAATTACTTCTGTTTGTATCCATTTTAGAACTAAACGAGATTGACAAACTTTCTGAGTTCCTTTTATTTCTTCTTTAACTCGAACTTCTTTTAAATTGAGCACTTTCAATATTAACTAAACTTAAAATTGTATTGACTCCTTAAGAAGTTTTTTCTCCTATAGAAAAATAGTTAGACTTTGTGATTGAATTTGTTTCCCTTTATCTCCAACTTAAATTACTTCCATATATATGTTCTTTTAAAACTCTAGAAGATTTTAATCTACTTGCACTACCTTAACTCTATATTTATATGAAATATCAATTACATTGCTTAGATCTGTAAACTAATTTACTTCTTTAAATTTACAAAAGTTTGGAGCAATCATATCATTTTTTTTACATCTTAAACAAATTCTATGATCAAAAGGAGGGAAGATATCTTCGTTTTATTAATCTGTTTGAACGGCATGATCAGTTATTTATAATCTTCCCGAACTGCTATAGTTTTTAACAGAAGAAGCTTATTCCTAACTTGTATTATTATCATCTTCAATAAAAATATGTTTGTTTTTTTTAATAATTCCTGTTGGTCTTTTTTAGGTATTTGACTCTTAAGAATCATCTAAATCTTTTGAGAATTTAGCCACTTCTCTATAAAAANACAACAATAAAATTATGAAGAATTTATAAGAAAGTAAGGTCCAAATGGTTTTTATCAATAATATACATATAGAAGTAATTATTAATATTTATAGAAGGCAACAATAATTCCTAATAATTTTCCAAATAATAAATGGAAGAAATGTAAAGATAAGCTTAATAATTTATGAATATGTTTTAGAATGGACAATTCACATAGTTCTCTTAGGCATTTCGATAAGCCACAAAAGATGATCCTAAATTCAATAGAGTTCATGCATTTATGAATCTGGCTGAAATGGCAGGTAAATTTTATGAAGAAAGACAGAGATCATAAATGGAAAATGAAATAAAAAGATAATAAAATGTTTAATCATTTGCAAATAAAGAAGAGAAACTTAAAGACAGTTTAAACAATATAAAAAGTAGTATTAAAGGATTATGGGATTAATTTACTAAAAAATGAATTTCTATATTCATATTATTTATGTTTATATTATCTGTTGATTATTTAATAAATAGATTACCATAAATAAAATTAAAGATTTTTATATAAATTGATTAAATTACAATCATTAATTACTTCTGTTTGTATCCATTTTAGAACTAAACGAGATTGACAAACTTTCTGAGTTCCTTTTATTTCTTCTTTAACTCGAACTTCTTTTAAATTGAGCACTTTCAATATTAACTAAACTTAAAATTGTATTGACTCCTTAAGAAGTTTTTTCTCCTATAGAAAAATAGTTAGACTTTGTGATTGAATTTGTTTCCCTTTATCTCCAACTTAAATTACTTCCATATATATGTTCTTTTAAAACTCTAGAAGATTTTAATCTACTTGCACTACCTTAACTCTATATTTATATGAAATATCAATTACATTGCTTAGATCTGTAAACTAATTTACTTCTTTAAATTTACAAAAGTTTGGAGCAATCATATCATTTTTTTTACATCTTAAACAAATTCTATGATCAAAAGGAGGGAAGATATCTTCGTTTTATTAATCTGTTTGAACGGCATGATCAGTTATTTATAATCTTCCCGAACTGCTATAGTTTTTAACAGAAGAAGCTTATTCCTAACTTGTATTATTATCATCTTCAATAAAAATATGTTTGTTTTTTTTAATAATTCCTGTTGGTCTTTTTTAGGTATTTGACTCTTAAGAATCATCTAAATCTTTTGAGAATTTAGCCACTTCTCTATAAAAACTTTATTAAATGGAAGAAGCTGGTGAGTTTGTATAACAATTAGGACTCTTATGTTAAGCTCTTGGAGGTTTTTAACTAATACGAGTTTATTAAAAATCTAATCTATTTTAAAGGTTTAATTAATCTTGTAGATAATTTATCTATTTATCATATTATTAAACTAAATCTTAAATTATTTATTCATATTTTTATTATGTTTGAACAATAGATTTATTAGATGATTCCTAAACTTATTGCATTTTTTTCTAAAAAGATTTTTCACTTTCTTTTATTTACTAAAAATTCACAGAAGAATTTAAAACATCTTTAACCTATTCTAATTCTTTAGCAAATTAAAGAGATTTTTTATCATTTTCAATTTTGTATTATAATAAATCTTATTATTTCTAAAATTCTAATTAATCAATAGATCTTTGTAAAAGCATAATTTCATGTTTTTAATTTGAAATTGTTGATTAAAGTGATTAAATTTATGATTATTTTTCCTAAATTTATATTAAATATTATACTTCAATAATAGAATTAAATTCTAATTAAACTTCATTTACTTATTATTCATATTAAGCAGAATTGCTGTCTAATTCTTATTAAAGTTCTTAAATCAAGGCTTCTTTTTATAAAACAGCCTAAAATTTATTTAACAATTACTTATTCTAATTATGATGCTTAAAGTTTTAATTTATCAAATAATTAAGATTGTTATTGATATTATACTTATGTTTAATCTAATGCTAATTTAGTAACTTTAATTTCATTTAAATTATTTATTTCTTATTATTTAAGTTATTCTTATAACATATTAATTTTTTGATTTAAAATTTGATTCTCACTCTTTAAAGTTGTTTCTTTTTCAATCATTTTATGACTCTCTAACAATTTTTCCTACTCTTACACTTAAACCTTTTATTATAATTCTTAAGATTAGGAAATTACTTTTTTTAATCTATTTTCTGTTTATACTTTATATTCTTTATATTCTTTTTATATCTCATTGAACTTAATTTAATATTTAATCTCTTCATCTATTTCTTTTAAATCTGAATTTTAAGTATTGCTCAGTTCATAACTTTCTTTTAATTATTTTTATAATGCATCATTTAATTTTAATTATTTCTTTATATCACTCTCTTAAAAACTAATTTATTTTTATAGGTCTTAAACCTAATTTCTTAATTAATTCAATAATTCATCTTATTCTTTTTATTTATCTGATAATTTTGAATTTAATAATTAAGTAGTATTCAATTCAATTTCTAATTGCTAAATCCTATTTGATTGAGATTTTGATAATTAAATATATTATTTGATTTCTTCATTTTCATCATTTTTAGACTAATATAAAATGGATTCTAATTCATTATTTTATTTATTTAGTCTTTCAATAATAGATAAATGTTTTTCACATTAATCTTCTAATTTAATTCTAATATCATTTAATTCATCAACATCATTTTTGTATTTTTATAATTCTTTATATAAATTTGTATTACTCTTTTAAAGTTATTTAATTTAATGAGTATACATTTGTAATTGATTATTATATACTTAATTCTCTTTTTCAATTTCAATACTATTATTTAAAATATTTTTCATTTCATCTTGTAATTGAAGTTTTTCTTGATGTTTTTCATCAATTCTTTATTTTACTTAATTTTATATCTGTTTATTTTCCTTCATTATAATTTCATTTTCTTATTTCACTTCATCAATTTCTTTCTAATATTTGAAAATCTAATTTTGTAAATCTTTAATTTCGCATTCTTGATTATAAATCATTTAATCTAATTGATCAAATACATAATTAAATAGATTTCCATTTGATTTTGGTTAAGGAATTCTAAACCTTTCTAATTAATTAAATATTAACTATTCAAGATCTCTCCATTATTCCCAGGAAGAATTGTTTTGTAACTATTATATAATTTAATTTTTTTCTTCTAATTATTGACTCAACATCATATTAATCTTCTATTCATTTTTAAATAGATTATTCTATTATTCTTATGAATTTATTTTCTATTCTTGCAATTATAAAATCATTCTTTTATATTCATTCATTGACAATAGCTTAAAGTCCATAGATCCAAGATCTAATCTTTTTTCTTTCAAAGAGAGTACTTATTACTCTACTTCTTAGAACACTTGAGCAGCAGCCTCTACTTCTTAAGCAGATACAGTTTATTGACTTAAATAATATTGAGCATAAATACTTTTCAAAAACATTTTCAATTTCAAGTGTTATCTTTTGATTAAATTCAATTAACTTTCTTACAAAAGTCAACATCTCTTTGATTTAATCTTCATCTTGTTTTTATAATTTATTAATCTCTCTTGTTATGATTGTGGCCATAGATATTTTAGATTCTTTGAATCTTGCATATTCCAAATCAATCTAATTTTATACATTAACCATTTCTTATTTGTAATGTGTTAATTTTTTGCTGTATTCTTTTAACTTTAATCTATTCTTATTATTAGTAAGAATTATTTAAGGACCAGTGCTTTCTTCCTTTAAAAAAGACTCATTGACAGATGACTTATTTTGAACAGCACTAACTTCTTTGAAATCCCTTAATAATTGATCCATGAATTGAACCTTGCTCATTTTGAATTTGTATAAATATTAATTTGTTCGTTAATATATATGTAATTTGTGAATTCCACTCCATCTCCAAAAAAATCACCTATTTCTATATAAGGTCAATAGGGAAAAATGTACAAGAAAAAAAAGTCAGTGAAATCAACATCAAAATTATTAGAGATTCCTCCTATTTCTACTTAGAGAACAATGAAAACAACAGATCAAATTTTATCTTAACGAAGTCCCATAACTGGTACAACTAAAACAACAAAACATACAATTGAAACAAAACGAAGCATGTCTCCTGAAGAATTAAAATCTTTCAGAAAAAGTAATAAGACATAAAAAAATTAGGAAGACACAAATAATCCAAAACAAAGATCTCCTCTATCTACTGAAAAAAAATAACATTCCAATAAAATGTCTATATAATAATATATGAAGGAAAAAAAAAAATCAGAGCAGTTAAAAGAAAAGCTTTTATAATAGAAAGTTTTGAATGATTAATAAAAAAAGTATTATTCATAAAATTAATATTTATTAGATTATACAATCTCTAAAAATTATAACTAGAAACTAAAAAAATATTTGAAAATGCTAAAAAAACAAAGAAAAAATTCTCTAAAAAATTAAAATAGAAAAAATAAAAAATAGATGAAATTATAAAAAGGTTTGAAGAAATATCTAAAAGGTATGAAAAAGTCTAACTTGATTAAATTGATAAATTTTAATAAGAAGTAGCTAAACATTAATAATCTTATAAAACTTAAACTGAAAATGAATCATAAATTAATTATAATTATTAAGATTAAGAAGCATTTAATGAATATTATTTACATTAAGCAGCCTTATTAATTTAGATTCATTGGAAAGAATATAAAAAGAAAAAAGAAAAATAAAAAAAGAAAGTATCATAGTCTAAATTATAATAAATCAGTATAGATTGGGAACCATAATAATTAATTTCATAATAAACATCTCCTAGCAATTTTGAAGATGGTTTTCTTTTTTGTTAAGGAGGAGAAAAATAAGTTCATATATCAAATATAAGAAGTTCAATCATTTCTGAAGAATCCTCACCTATTGTTAGTCAATTAAATTAAGAATTTGAAAATTGGAATCTTTTTACTTAAAGAATAGTTAAAGATAAAGATATTTCAGGCATTAATAAATAAATGCAATAATAGATTATATCTATTGTATAAACACATTTAAAATAATCTGAAAATGTTTCAGAAAAAAGAAGTGAAAATGAAATCTTATAAGAGAAAAGCATAAATAAACATCAAAAATAATTAAGTGAAGATCTCTCTAAAACTAATGCACTTTAATTATAAAAACAATCATAATAAGAAGAAAACTTAGTATTAAATTATAGAGAAGAAGTTCTATATCTTAGATATGATGTTGAATAAAAAAATGCTACTGGAAAAGATTAATAATTGCTTGAAGAATGGTTGAATAGAGAATTAGAAGATTTATAAAATACAAGAAAGGCTTTTGAATTAGGTCATAGAAGAGAAATTTCTACTTTAAAAAAAATTTAAAGAGATATCCTTATTGCTTCTGCAGAGCTATAATCTGATCCATAAGATAATTTATAGATTTAGCAAATATAATAATAAATAGATGAATAATTTAACGGTCTTAAAGTTACAAAATAGAATAATAATAAATTATAAGAGGAAATTTAATAAACTGTAGATTTAATAACTACTGAAATTATTAATGATATGATGGTGGAATTTTCAGAAGAAGTGTTGAATAATAGAGATGATCTTTATTTAATAATTTCTAATCTTATCGTAAATTAAGATGAACCACCTTGTGTTCCTACATCTATGGCTGATATCTAATAATATATTGATAACCTATTTAAATATATTTTGGAATATCATAAATAATCCTTGTTATCAAATTTGAATACTCCTTTTGGATTTACACCTAAGTAAAGATTGAGGTTAATTCATGGAAATGAAGATGATGATATTGATAATAATAAGGAATTCTAAGACCAAATAGCATTTCCAATAGATGAGACTATTTTTGTTGAATATGAAAATTAGAGAATGCCTGTAACTGATGATGATGATGAAATTGGATGTGCTATTTTAGAACTTCAACATATTCATTATAAAGCAATTTTTGATGCATGTAATGAAGTTTTAAATCGATATAGACCATTTTATTATAGTAATTATTTTATATTAAATTAAGATTCTGGCATAAAATATCCATGGGAATAAAAGAAAATTAGTTTATAAAAAATATCTAATGAAAGTATAGATAAAATTTTGGAATAAGTTAAATCTATAGTATTAAAATAAAGTAAAGTTTTGTGTGGGTTTTATCCACCTGAAGATTTTGAAACTATTAAATAAGAGAAATAAGAAATAATAGATGAGAAAAATATAATTATGCTTATATAACAATTAAATTTAGTTGAAAATCCTTTATTAGTTGATACAAATGTTCAATTTGATAATTTGGCCTTAATTAGAGATGAGTAACTATACAAATTACTTATAGAGGATGTAAAATATTTATAAAAATTATTATAGATTAAGGAATAGGAATACAAGTGGACATTGATTGAAGATGATCGAGCTGAATATTTAATGGAATTAAGCGATCAAATTTTAGAGACTCTTATAGAAGAACTCTCCAAAGAATTGTGATTCTTCTTATATTTGATATTTTATGTATAATAATTTATTATAATTGGATAAATATGATTTATATATCTAATTGTAAAATTGTTAAAATTTTGTTTATTACATTTATCAAAATAGTTGAATTTGATAAATAAAATGTTTAATAAATGAGTAAATTAATTATAAATAGATTAATATAAAAATAATATGATAATTATGAATTTAATTTTGATAATAAATAAAAATAAATAGAATCTGTGTGATGTTGACAGAAAGCCTTTAAATAAATTCTGGACATTCAAGTATGATCCATGATATTAAATATGATTATTATGGTGACAAATTAGCCAGTTGTGGAAGTGATGGATATATTAATGTCTATGACGTGTCAAAAAAATAATAGGTTGCTTAAATTAAGATGTACATAAAATAAATATTCTATTTTAGTCGAGATTCACCTTTATTTTCATTATCTTGGTCACATCCTAGATTTGGTAATGTAATAGCTACTTCATCATATGATGGAGAAATATCTATTTTTAAGGAATAAAAAGATTGGATGAAAGTGGCTAGTTTTTAGAATGAGGGCAGTGTGAATTGTGTTTAATTTATGCCTAGAGAATTATTTTTAGCATGTGGCACATCAGATGGATTTGTAATTTTATTAGATAATAACAAAAATTGGGATGTAGATTATAAATGGCAAGCACATGAATCAATAATACATGGATTATGTTGGAATTAAGATGGATCATTATTAGCAACTTGCAGTGCTGATAAATTGATTAAAGTCTGGGAATTTACAAACAATAATAAACCTTAATTGAAATATACAATTTAATCACATTTGGATGTTGTGAAAGATGTTTAATTCCATCCTTTAGAAAATAATATCCTTGTTTCAGGAGGAGATGTAAAAATCATATAAATTTATAGGATGGAAAACTTAGAGTACATAAATTAGATGATGATGTAGTCGATAATCAAGTAATTGATTTTCATATGACTATTTGGAGAATATCATTCAATATGTTGGGAAATTTATTAACAGTAAATGGAGAAAGTAATGGTTAGAATAAAATTTAAACGCTAAAATAAGAGAATAATTTTTAATATGGTCCTATTGATTGCAATTGAATAATGTATAGATGAAAATGAAATTATATCAACTTGTTAAATTTACATTTATATTTGCTTCTTTAGCTAATCTTAAAATTGCTGCCATTCTAACTGCTTTCTTAGCTGCCTCATCTAAATCTTCAGTAAACATCATATTGAATCCTGACTCATCTATTAATTTTTTGGCCTCTTCTATTTTTGTTCCCTTCATTCTTAACACCATAGGCTTCTTCATTCCCAAAATTGTCAAACCTTTCAATAGTCCTAAGACAATTTAATCACATCTTGAAAATAATGATTATATATCATTACCTAGCTATACCAGCAAATATATTGACAAGAATGGCTTCAACATTAGGATCTTTATCCATAATTTTGAGTGCAGAAACAATTTCTTAATCAGTAGCTTTTCCACCAACATCCAAAAAGTTTGCAGGAGATCCATCATATTATTTGATTAAATCCATTGTAGCCATAGCCAATCCTGCCCCATTAACCATACAACCTATATTTCCATCCAAAGCAATATAATTTAATCCATGCTTCTATGCTTCAACTTCTTTCCAATCTTTTTACCTTACATCTTCCATATGAAAGATAGCATGTTGTCTAAATTGAGAATTATCATCAATATTAAGTTTTTGATCACAAATAATCAAATTACCTTACAAGTCAATTCCAAGTGGATTAATTTCTAACAATGTTGCATCAGTTTATAAAAAAATATCAAACATCTTTTTCAAAATCTAAATATGATTAAGCATGTAATTACATCTTTCATCTAATTATGCTATATTGGATTCAATTTATATACTTTTGAAACCTTTTCATAAATCGTATAATCAATATCATCAACATTGCTAGGCATCTCAATTGAGAATTTCTTAATATAATTAGGATCACTCTCTTCTATATGTATACCTCCCTTTTCAGAGGCTACAATTCCTAATCCTCCTGTATTTCTGTCCAAAAGAATTGACAAATACAATTCCTTCCTTAAAAAGTTTCTTTCTACCACATAAACCATTTCACACTTCTTTCCTAAACTTCCAGTTTGTTTGGTTATTAATGTGTTTCCCAACATTTTACTAGCGTATTCTCTTACATCTTCTGGAGTAGAGGCGATGTGTATTCCCTAAATAGATATTCACTGGTACACTATTAAATCCATTTTCTTTAAAATATCCTTTTCCTCTACCGCCAGTATGGCATTAAGCCTTTACAACAACATCTGTGAATGAATTTCGATCTGATCCCTCTTAAATGATTTTTTAAGCTGACTTATAGGCTTCGTCTGGGGTCTTACAAATTCTTCCAGGTGGAATTGGGAGTTAAAAAGACTTGAAAAACTCAGCTGTTTGATACTCGTGAAGAGAAAGGAAATATTTGGGTATACGATGGAATCTAAACATTAAAGATATTGTTTTATATTATATAATTTCATTACCATATTCTGTTGCGCATATTTTCCAATTACTCTATATCTTAAGTATTATTATCTAATTTTTACAAAATGTTATCAAATTAAGAAATAGATCCTCCAAATCCTGATTCATTCATATTATTTTCAAAGTTTCTTACTTCTAGAAACTATCTTAGATGACCATTTTCACCTATTGTTGGTACTTTTATTAGATCAAGTAAATATTATTAGAGATTAACAGATCTAATAATTGGGTTAATCTATTATAATGCTGCAGTAGTCTTATAAGGTAATTATGGCAGTAAGGGATATCTTTAAATAGAATTAATATATTTCTTATACCTTTATTTTAATATACTATGTAGTTCATCAAATTAACTGAATCTTTTCCAAATTATGTGTTTTGAATCACCATTTTCAATCGTAAATGAGTATCTTATGAATTTTTCATTATCTTTTCCTACAACCTCCTCAAATCCGGTATTTTTAATTTATAATTTTTTTATTAATTCACTCTCTTTAATTACTTTAACTTATAAATTTTTAATTTGATCTATTTAATATTGAGACATTTCGATAAATTTAAATAGAGCAGAGATATGATATTATCTATCATTAAGTAATATTTTCATAAAAATCTCTAAGTCTTATTTTCTTTCTTCTATTTCTTCATTTGAAATCTTTATTAATGATTTTTGAGGAAATGGAGGAAAACTTTTGACTTCGATGATATTTTTCAAAATCTCACTAAATTCATAGAATTCCTTGAATCTTCTTTAAACCATAAGAGTTTCATCTGCAAATTATGTCATTATTGTATATTGTACATATGTTTCAGTAAGATTTTTAATAGTTTGAAATTCAGTAATTTTGATATCTAAATAAGGCAAATATTATGATTGTATATCCCATTTGTATCTCTTATTTGTTTGAATTTTTCTAACTAATATAGATGACTTATGTAGATTTTGAGTAGAATTGGCTAATTTTATTTCATCTATAAGTTATCTCTCAGAAAGTTATAATTGTATGAAGTCAACAAAGCAAGGTGTGATCAATTCTAATTTACTTATAATAAAGTCAAAGTATCTTTATATATAATTAATTAATAGTAAATCCTAACTCTCTTGTATCTATTTTATTAGGAAATTCATTTATAATAAATCATTAGAATGAAGTTCAAAATAATCATTATTCTCAATTACATATTGTTAATGATGAAGTAAGATTTCTGAAATCTTTTTTTTTAATTTGTATTACTTATCTGTTCCAACAATAATACTTTAAAGTAATAAGAAATATAATTACATTTCTAATTTAACTTCAAAATCATTATCAAGAATGTTCCATTATTTTTTCACTACTATTCTTAAGAAAAACGAGCTCTACATATCTAAATTAGAATTTTAGAATACTATTGACAGTAGAAACTCTGGGTCTTTAAGATTCCGATAAATCGATCATTGGCAATTGATTTCTCCAAAAACCTAGGGTTTCAAATTCTGCAAGATCCTATCTTCTAATGAAAATAGTAAAGATAATAAGAAAGGTATAATCAGCAACTCGAAAAAGAAGCAAAGAATATGCAACTTTATATCCATTCTATTGTAGAATGTAAAATAATACATTTATAATGATTAATGTAAAAGTGATACTTAAAAATAGCCAATTTAGTACCCAATAAATTTTATGAGCAAAAAACAGTGGTACTTATTTCTTGTATTCATAACTCTAAAATTAAATTTAAACATACCATTAAAATAATTTGCATAATAATAGCTGAAATATTTACAAAGAGTACTCCAGAGATGAAATAATTCTAATGGCCATCTTAAATAATCATTAGAATAAATTCAATGAATTCAGCAGCTCTGAGTAGTTAATAAATTTACTAATATCTAAAGTTAATAGTGTAATCCGCAAAATAATTGAATAATTAAAAGGGATTGGCTCAGCTTGAATATTAGAGTGTAAATCATAGAACCTTGCTGCCATTCCTAAAATATATAAAACACTTATTGAAGCAGGAAGCAAATAACTAAATATTATTAAAGCATTCTGAATTGGCATTTAATATTAAATATTTCTTTTGCAATTATTTAAAAATTAAATTATCTAATTTATGCTATCCACAGCTGCAGGTTTCCAATCAATGCTCAAAGAAGTATGATAAAAAGTATTAAATTTCTCAGGGGGCTCGCCATTATCAAGGATTAGAGGAAGCTATCCTAAAAAATATTTAAGCATGCAAAGAAATTTCTAACATGACTAAAACTTCTTTAGGCCCAAATGGAATGAAAAAAATGGTTGTGAATCATATAGATAAAATATTTGTTACAAGTGATGCAGCAACAATCCTTAAAGAAATGGAAATCTAACATCCTGCCGCCAAGATGATCCTTATGGCTGCTAAAATGTAAGAAACTGAATAAGGGGATGCTACAAATTTTGTTATTACTCTAGCTGGAGAGTTATTGTAATAAGCTGAGAGTTTAATAAAACTAGGATTACATCCAAGGTATTATTTATAATACATCCATTTAGCTAAATTGTTGTTGGTTATGAAACAGCATTAAAAAAGGCATTGGATTTACTTGAAGAATAAAAAATATGGGAAATAAATGATGTTGCTGATGAATAATAAGTCTTTTAAGCAATTAGAACTTCTTTAAGTAGTAAATTGTCAGAGTAATTTTCTAAATAAAGATTATAGCTATTCTAATCTCATTGCTGGTCTTGTAGCCAAAGCATGTATTAGATGTTTACCAAGAGAAAAGTCTAACTTTGATTCTGAATATGTTAGAGTTACTAAAATATTGGGTGGATCTGTTTTGGATAGTCATGTTTTATCTGGATTAATTGTAACTAGAAATGTTGAAGGACAAATCAATAGATTAGAAAATCCTAAAATTTGTGTATTTAATGCACCATTAGATCCATAATCATAAGAAACTAAAGGAACTGTTTTAATTAAAAATGCTACAGAATTAATGAACTATACAAAGAGTGAAGAAGAATTAGCTGAAAAGATAGTCAAGAGTATTGCAGATGCAGGAGTTAATTTAATAGTTGCTGGAGGAAGTATTTCAGAATTAGTATTACATTTTGTTGAAAAATATAAAATGATGATTGTGAAAGTTTAATCAAAATTTGAATTAAAACGATTATGTAAAGCAGTTGGAGCTAGTGCTTTATCTAGATTATCTGCACCTATGCCTGATGAATTAGGAACATGTGACCGTGTTCATGTATAAGAAATCGGTAGTCAAAAAGTTACTATTTTCGAAAAGTAAAGTGATACTTGCAAATTGGCAACTATAGTTTTAAGGGGTGCTACATAAAATCTCTTAGATGATATTGAAAGAGCAATTGATGATGGAGTTAGTTGTTATAGATCATTAATTAAAGATCCAAGATTTGTTTATGGTGGAGGTGCTACTGAAATTGTAATATTCATTTCTCTATCCATTTTAGAAATTAGCTTAGTAATTAGAATCGGAAGCAAACAAAATTAAATCTATAGATTAATATGCTTATAGATAATATGCTTAAGCATTTGAAATTATACCTAGAATCTTAATTGATAATGCTGGTTTAGCTCAAAATGAAATGATGGCTTAATTAAACAAATTGAATTCTGAGAAACCTCATTCATTGAATATTTCTGTATATATATATTTCTCTAATTTAGAATGGAACATTGACTCCATCAAATGAGTTGAAGGTATTTGATCATCTTAAAACTAAATGGTGGGCAATTAAATTAGCTACAGATGCTGCTATCACAATCTTGAGAGTTGATTAAGTATAATTATTATATATATTTTTAGATTATTATTGCCAAACCAGCTGGAGGACCAAAGATGCCAGATAGAGGACATTGGGATGATTAAGAATGAGTGTGATTAAATAATAAATCATAGCATAAATATTATTAATAATTTTCTATCATTTTACTTAATATACAAGTTTAGATTTGATTGATTAAAATTAGTTATTATTTATGAAATAACTAAAAAAATTATAATTGATTACAACTACAAAACTTTTAGAATTAGATTATTCATTTTAAATTCTATTGATATTTTCATTAATTAAGAATAAATTAATATATTTTTTATACTAATTTATTGGTATTTTATAATATTATAAAATCATTATTTAATTAAATTGATTTCCTCAACTAATATTGCAAAATCTTATTAACTTTGTTAGACACTTTAATTTATGAATTTGATTTATTGATTTAAAGAATTCACTTCTGTAAGGATAGTATCATCTTTTTTTAATTCTTTAATTTTAAGATTCAATTCGACAATTTTATTTAAATCTTCTTTTAATGTCTTTTTTAATTATACATTCTCCTCAAACAAAGTCTTATAATTTTTCAATTTCTATTTTATTTACATTTTAAAATCTTCTTAATTAGTTTCAATTTAATTTTTTAGATGATATAGTGTTTAATACTCAGTTTTTAAGATTTAGTGATCACATTAAATTTTGATTAATTGTTCACTTTATTATCTGAAATTCTATAATACCTTCTAAACAGCATATACTATAGCATCACAGTCTTATGGAACATTTAATAATAATGATAGTTCTTTAATCATTTATTTAAATTTGATATTGCTATCTGCATTTTCTGTTTATTGATATTAAGAACACTTATTAGTTACTGAATAGCCTGCATAAGTAAAATTGCTATTATAACTTTCTCTTCCTTTTTATAAACTCATTCTACTTTCTGATAAATTTGGCATACTTTAAGTTGGTAATTATATATTTTTAACATGTTATAAATCCTACAAATTAACCTTCTTAACTTCTTATCGAACTCTTGTTGAGCAGGGTTAAGGACTTCCATATCTTTTTTATACAATTGGCTCTGTTCTTAAAGATTTCGTCCATGAAATTTATGATTACATTTAAACTGAATTTCTACTAATCTCATTAGGGTTTGTGCATTTAATAAATATACTTACCTAATTTCCTTATTCTAAATCTATTTTATATATAGATTCTTTTCCCATGATCTCATTTAATTCTAATTTTGCAAAACCTATAACCTTGATGAATCCACTTTCTTCATCTTGTATTTCTATATATATTTAAAGCTAAGGATCTATTAATTTATTACAAATCTGCCAAGATCAAATGAAGAAGTCCATGATGGAGAATATTTAATTATTTTTTAAGTGGTTACAATCCTTAGAGGTTCTCTTTTATCAGCTAAAATTATATATGTAAAATATACCACATTAGAAAGAGATTTACATTAATTAAGTCTATACAAGAGACTTAAAATGAATTTAAGAAACACTTAATTAATACATTTAATTAAAAAAAGAATGAAAACAAAAGCCAATTATACTCTTGTTAATATTACTTCCTTATTGATTTTCAAGTATTCTCATTAAATTTAAATACATAAATAACTATCTTAGAATATAAGTCTAAAATCAGTTTAGCAATGTTAATTTAAATTTGAATTCAAATGCATATTTTAGTAAGACATTAAAGAATGATATAATAATTAATTGAATTTGAATTAAAAATGAAAATAGACCATTTTTTAGAATAACAGAGAGTATTTGAAATGTAATTTTGAATCGATTTATTAATGTTTTATTGATTAATTTAATTAATTAATATCTCTTTTATAAATTTTCTAATGAGCACAAAAACCCATTAAAGAATTCTTACCTTTATAAAAAAATATAAAGACGAGTAAATACATCACATTTAAGTTTAGATTGAGCCCATCTACTGGAATTGATGAATTTGCAGATTTATTGAATGAATGCTTTTAGTCATTCAAATCAGATTCATTAAGAAGAGAAAAAGTGAATTTAATGCTTGAAAATCTTGTTTTAGATGATGATAGTAAACTTGTAGAAGGAGGTAAGAAAAATCAATAATAAAATAAGATTTATAAAAATATGTGGAGAGATTGATTGATTTCGTTGAAGGACCAAGTGATGATCCATTAGAAAAAAACAATCTTAAACAACGAAGTTCTTCTGGTAGTTCTGATGAGGAAGATAATAGAGGTCATAATAAATAATACAATAAACATAAAAGAGATAGAAGCAGAGATAGGGAAAAGAACAAAAAATCCAAAAAAAATTAAAAAAATACAAATTTTATTTCAGAATTATAAAAAGCATTAGGAAAAGATATGAATTTAAAAGATTTACTTTCATCCATAACAAATAATAATAATCGTAAATAATAACATAATAATAATAATAAAAATATTGTCTTTCTATAAAATGTTCCAAGAGAAATGAGATCATACACAGAAATAGAAACATTACTCTAAGGAAGAGGAGAATTAACTAAAATTCAACTCTTAGGAAAGTAATTAATAAAAATATTTTTAGAGTTCCTTCTGTATAATTTAAAAATCACAGTGATGCCTAAGCTTTGATTGATAAATTTATTGTCCATAAAGGAGTTAAAATTGAATTTACATAGAGTTTAAATAAAGTATTAATAGAATATAATTAAAGTAGCAGTAACACTAAGATGATAATAAAAATAATAAGATTATTATATTAGATAAAGAGGGGAAAAAAGTATCTAATCAAGCTAGTTAACCAGCACCTCTATTATAAACATAATAATAATAATAACAATAATAATCATAATAATAATAATAATCAGTTTAATAGAAATAAGACTCTAAAATGGAAGAGGAAACTGATTTAAAAAAAACAAAGGAAGAACAAGAATTAAATACTCAAATTGAATAAATTAAAGGACAAGCTATAACTTTAATTGTAGATAAAATAAGATTAGCTTTATTATTAAGTAAAAGGAAGGACAATTATCCTCCTTAATTAAGTGTTGAAATTGATGAGTTAAAAAAGTAAACATTTTAAATAAGCTTAGATTATTAACCTAAAAGAAGGAGGTAATATCTAAAATGAGTTCTTTAGAATAACTAAAAGCAGAATTACAATGGCTAAATGAGAATTATGATTATACTTTGTTAATTACACAGATCCCAGAGTAATTATTTAAAGATAAGACAGTTACTAAAGTACTCAATGAGGAATTTTAAGTAAGTCTTTAAACTATAAAATAGAAATTTGGTAAAATTGACAATTTATAAATTAAAATAAAAGATAAAGTTGCCCACCTTAAATTTTGGAATTTTGATTCAGCGGAAAAAGTATTCAATATTTATTATGTAGGCTTATTATCAAGCAAATGAAAATTCTAATTTTAAAGTTGAGTTTTTAAATTAGGGCATTAAAAAGGTGTTAATTGCTTAAAGTTGAAATATTTTATAAAATCATAATATTTAATGTAAATAAATAATATATTCAAATATTCTTACAAAATATTTCAAACAAATATATTTTTCCATTTTTAATAATATATCAATTAATAAATTTTATCAAATTACCATTTTTTATATTGATTTTTTTCAAAAATTATAATCCCTTTCCTAATTTATTTCACAAATATCAATTTGAAAACTAAATAATAGTTTTATTAAGATATGTTATAAAAGTTTGGAAAAGAAGCTTATGATTTAAAATTCGAGAAATACTTTGATTTGATTGATGATACTTTTTCTTTAAATCCACAGACTATTGCAATTTCATAAAATGGTAAATATATATTTTATCGGCATGGAACTTATACAGTTAATAGTTAACATACTATTATAAATTCTGAAAGCAAAATTATTTTAAGAATATCAGGTATTATATAAGCCTGCTTCTCTTCAGATTCAAAATTTTTACTCTTTTCTTAAAGATTAAATGAAAATTTAACTCATCTTTGTCTAATTAATTGTGAAAAAGAAGAATTGGTTTGGAAGAAAGAACTTAATTGTAGTGAATTTGTTAAAGATTCAATATTTTAAATACAATTTAGTTAAAATAATTAATTTGCAATCATAAGCACTTGTTTTTAAAGGTACTTTAAAATTTTTCTTGATGGCACATATTAAGAAATAGTTTTAAAATAATATTTACCAATGAAATACTTTGATTAATTAAAATTTTTAGATAAAGATTTATTAATAATTGGAAAAATTGATTAAACTTAGAGAGAGAAAAAATATTCATTTTATTTAATCTACAAATAAAATCGTTTGATTTATAATTGGAAAACAGTTGCATCAAAAAATTAAAGATTTGAAATTCAAAATAAATTTTTGATTACTTTAAAAGATGTTACTAAATTTTCATTAAAACTAATAACAACAGGAAAACTTTTAAGAAACGTATCTATTCTTTAAGAAGAATCAAATCATTTTATTTATTTTAACAATGTATTTTATCAATTAGGTTTATCAAATTTAATAAAATATGATTTAATTTAAGGTAAAAAATTTCGAACTAATTGTTAAATACCAAAAAAACATCAAAATGAATTAGATCATTTAAGAAAAGATTAAAATATTATCAGAGTAGATACCATAGATGAAGGCTTTATTAGAAGATTAGAATTTTTCAAATTAAAAGAATAATAATGATATTTTATCATTAATTTAAACTTCTTAAGAAATATATTTATACTTTTCAGTCTATTCTAATTTTTTTATTATCTGAACTTTCATAATCTTCATAAGATATAATACTTTATAATAATCCTTTAATTAATGTAAACTTTTCTTAAATTTTCATAACAGAAATATTATGCATAAAAGTTTGAAATTTTTCTGATTAAAACATTCTTTCAAATTATGCAATCTCTGTTTTGAATTTATCTATTAGTATATTTTATTTTAAAATTAATGTAACTATTTTCATTATACAATTAACTAATGTAAGTTCATTTATTTATTTTTATTTTAAGAAACCTGAAAGTTGAGTAGAATAATTGATTTTTTCAATTAGAATCATAGCTTCATGTAAATATTCAGGTAATAATCTAATTATATTAAACTATTGTAATTTTGAAAGATATTCTTTACTTAATTATTTACTTTTTAGCATTTAAATAATTATTTGTAAAATAATAGATGTAATATTTGGATTTAATGAGTTTTTACATAATTACATCAATTTTTAAAAGAATTCATCATCGGCAATACAAATTTAAAACTATTTAATTAAAAATTAATATATTTATAAAGAGTCAATTAAATTAAAAATCTAATCTCCTTATAAATTATGAAAAAGTCTATCTAAAAATACTTTATTTTTAATTTTCTCTTTAGGAAAATTGGCTTTTTTAATAAATTTTGAAATTATTTAAATCATACTACCCTCCAATTCATTTAAATTATCATTTAACCAAATAATTATAATTTCATCCCATATATTCAAAAGTTATTAATCTAATTCTGGATTTTCAATACTAACTAAATCATTAATAATTTAAATAGCTATTTTACAAGCTCTTATTGATGGTTTCTATATAAATATAAACTATTTTTTGATAAAATTAAGTGTCATATTTTTATAACATTATGGCATTTACTTACAAAAGATTTAGAGAGCCTAAAGATAATGAATGACATCAATTAATTATTTGATTTAATCTAATTTTTATTATATATGGCATAATTTGAATATTTAGTAAGCAATAGTTTTATCTAGTTAACAAAATATACTAAAAATATTTAAAATCTGAAATTGAAAAGGATTAGGTGAATCTCTATTATAAATTTAGCATAAACTCTCAAATGATATTTATTTTATTTAAAGTTAATGCTGAATATTTGTACGAATTAACAATTAGCAAAGATTATCTAAATTATTATAGTTGTTACTTATGGCATAAAATTAAATGCAGGGTGGCATCTAAGCCTGCAAAATCTACTACAGTATCGTAATTAGAAGTGTTATTTATTGATCTTCAATATCATTTTCTATTTAAATAACATCCATCAGTTAATTTTTATAAGAGATTAAGCCATTGTGAATTTTTATGAAATCTTCACTCATTAAGTTTTGAATAACTTCTTAGAATGTCAAATTGGGAGCAAAATGATGTTGAAGTAATTTATCTTGAAAAGACTGAGGAATATATTAAGGGTATAATTCATCACATTTTGATTATAACATAATTTAATATTAATTATATATGAACATAAGAATTATTCAAATTTATTCATATCAAATAAAATAATTATTATCGATGTTCAGATACTATCTCTAAAAAGTATTTATAAAAATTATAATTAAACTATTAATATAAATTTATAAGAAAAATGTTTATAATGAATTTAATCATTTCTTTTTAAATCTTCGAGGTTTGAATAATTATTTATTAAAACAATTAGAGATTTAGATCTTTATAACCAAATTATACTTGTTAAATATATTTTTTAGGAGTATTAATTTATTGCATACTAGTAATACTGAAA